AGAGCATGGTCAAGGTTGTATCCTACTAGTGAACCAAAGAGTAGGTGTACTGCTGAGGAGTTACTGTTAAATCATTCTCGTTAAAGACATGTAGAAACACAAAAAATACTTTTACATCTGCTTTTCCATACTGGCATAATTTTTGAAACTTTATATTCTTTAGAATGAATAAGTAGATTGTTTGGATATTTTTACTTTTTTTTAAACCCTCAGTTTGGTGGCTTTCTGCACTTGCATATATGTAGTCTTTCAAACAAAACATAATCCTTTCCACTCAACTGGCTTTTTTGACTTTCTCAATCATGGTTTCAGTAGCTTCTTGAGGGGTTGCGTAACGTTTGCAGATTCAGAGCTATTGGGGCTGAGGAACTTTGCAGTTGTTTCAGAAGAACTAATAGACTCACTGGTCCTGAGTGTCGCTATCTGCATTCAAGAAGAAAGCACATAGATGTGTATTGAACAAAAGTTTTAAATCCCTCTCCCCCCGGCAGATTATATAAAGAACTACACCAAAAAAACTTTTAATTAGGTTAAAGTTGAATAATAAGCTAGGAAAAGCCAGAATTGTTTCCGTGTGTGGCCTGAATTCAGTTCCTAACTGCATATGAATTTGGATTTTTTTTTCTAGAAAAAGAAAAATCTTCAAACGTGTAAATCTCGCTTTCCTCTCAGGGAGCTGCCTCAGACAGTACTTGAGGTAGACTTGCTTCAGTCATATATCGGAGCTGTTTAGGAAGGACCTCTAGTGTTTCTAGAATCTGGGCTTCACTTGTTGCCGAAGGTGACATGTTTAACGAACGAAGGGGGATATCAAAATAAAAATGATTTTTCCTGTTGTTACCTTGAAGAATTGCGTTTGGATGCTGCCTTTGCGAACTAGTTGCCATACAGTGGTAATAAAGATGCTTACATTTCGGTTAAGATCAGTCACTCTGTTCTTTATTTTGTGGTGCTTAACTATGGCCTGACTGTTCATGGAATTCCCACTGCATCTGAAGTCAATGGAAGCTATGTTAAAAATGTGTATGTGCTGATATGTACCCTGCAAAAATTAAGCATTGCAAGTTGGCACCTGAAGTTGGTGTGTGACTTTAACCTCTTGCGTATTAATTTGATCCACCAGAAAAAAAGTCAGGATTCATACTACCTTGTTTAATGTGCTTAACTTTCTCAGTACTTCAAATATAACAGCTGCAGAAAAATCCTTGAAGAAATTAAGAATTCCTGCTTTAGAGGATGACTTGAATACGTAATGTATTAAAATGAAGCTTAAAGCTATATATTGAACCACAAGAGTAATAAACTGAATTCTTGCTGAAATATGCTGAAAAGTAGCTATCATCTGTTCATGCGTAGAATGAATGCAACAGTTGCGGAAGGACAAGTGAGAAAGTAGGCAATCTCACAGTTTTCATGGAAAATATACAAAAGGACTGAACTAAGGATGTATATTATAACCTTTGACATTTTGGTAATGAAATGCCTGTAACATTTATACTGGTCTTAATGTAATATTTTTTCATGTAGCTTCCTAGATTTTTAAAGCTAATTAGACTGAAGTTTCATTATACAATATGCACTTGATAACCTATGGGTAGAATTAGATTCTAGCTTGTCCTTATGGTCTTTATTGCTTGAGCTATGGGAGTCATACATAGTAGTAGTAGGTTGTCATTCCCTGTAGACCAGTGTTAGAGGTAGGTGATGGTCTTTACTAGTAATTTTTGCAAGTTTAACTGACAGGAATTTTTTAACTTGGGAAACGTACTAAAGTCAACATGGACTATTCTGACTGTGATCCTTTTGTCCCTCCATAAAGTTGTGTTCCCTCAGTATTTTCTTTTCATTTTTTGCCTTGACATAGTCCTTAGTTTTCTTACTCCAATAATAGGCTTCTTATCTACCAAGCTGTGGTTTGTTCAGATTCTTGCACTGGCTTTGTATGAAGCTTTATGTTTCCTCCTCCTTCTCCACTTGCCTGCCAAGACCTGCTTTCTTTCTCTTGGTGACCCATCTGTTTGAGCTCTCAGCTCTGCTTTTGAATTGGATAGTAGCTTACTTGGCTCAGGAGGAAGATTCTTTGGGAGCATAGGCATACCATGAAGCAGTCCAGATCTGAAGTTGCAAAGAAGGTCCTGTTCAGGCTCCTGTCTAGACTCATGCTGGGAACACAGGTGGATTTTTTTGAGGGAGAACTTGGCTGTGAAAAGTCTTAAGGTGACTCCCCTGAGTATATAAAGCTAACTTTTTACAGTGTCGCTTTACAAATGGAGGCAAGCTTCTGTAGTGGTTTTGGAGATGGGGGGGTTGTTTTCTTTTATTATTTCAACACTCCCCACTCCCAAAGCAGATAAGCCTTAAACAGAAGTTATCCTCTTGCTTAATCTTGTTCCCCTGCTCCAAATCATAATATTGCTAGTACAAAAATGAGCACCCTCATGAACACCAAAACTGTTTTTTGTTAAATTTTTCCCCAAAGAGATGTGATATAATGAACTTCAACTCTACCACTTGGGCAGAATTGTGAAATTGAGAACAGATCTTTATGGCAAGGAGTGGCAAACAAGCTTACTAGGTTGCCCTCTGAATCTTTCCTTTTATCTGTTAAGTGAGAGAAATAGAGAGATCAGTCGGTCTCTTCCTGCCCAGTGTAAAAGAAAGAGTTTGGGGATATCTAACTCTTTTTTTGCACCCTGGCTTTTTGGATCTGGGAAAAACAAAGTAGTCTGTGTATTCAAAGCAACATCTACACCTTTAGTAAAATTGTTCTTTGTAATCCTGTCTGAGGCAGGTTACTTGACTTGCAAAAAGAGTAGTCAGTGCATAAGCTACTTTCAAGTTCATTAACTTGGGGAGGGACAGAGGGAAGAAAGGAGTCTTAAGTTACTGTGTACATAACTAGGATGGGTTCTTATTTGACCTAAAGTCTGTCTTGATGCAGCAGCACAAGCCAGCGAGGAGACTGTCACATTTCGCCGTGAACGCAGCACATTTAGGCGTCAGGCAGTGCGACGCCGGCACAATGCAGGGAGTAACCCTACCCCTCCTACATTGCTCATCGGATCACCCCTCAGGTAGGGTATCTAAATGTTCCACCATATTTAGCATGCATGCAGCAGACCACTTCTCCCCACACCCACCAGTGTTGCCAGAAAAGCACTTTTTTCTTCCCTTCCCACCATAACCTCCTTGAGCTGTCACTGCATGTCACTGTGGGCTTGTTGAATTGTGCATGTATATGTGGCACTATTTTGAAAATGAACAGGATAGCCAATCTCTAACATGTTTCAGTTGGTTTCAGATTGATAACAAAATGAACTAATGCTAACAAACTTAGACTCTGTTTTCTCAGTTTTATCAAATACTTTAGAAGTTCTTGCTGTCAAGCAAGGAGAAGGTCCCAAGAAAATAGTTACTGATTACTCCTCACTTTGTTTTTCTCTTCCCCTTAGGAAAGTAAGCATTGGGGATTAGTAACATAATCATTTATCAGCTCTGTAGGTGTTAGAGATGAGCATTATAACAAAATGGCATTATAATGAGCTATATCATACCTGGAAAGCTCCATATCTAAAATGAAGTAAAGCATTGTGTAAATAGTCTGCAACTTTTTCCAGCAAAAGAGAAATAATGAACTAACATATTGATGTCTTGTTATAAAACCTACAGTATTGCTCAATATTAATTCTAATTGTCTGGCACTCTCATATGTGTGTATCCCAGGGCTCCTTAAGCTTCACCAGCTCACTTTTTAACAATGTTGAGCCTAGTGATATGTTACGGACAGCAGCATTTTTTGCTCAGTCTGTCTGCTTGAGCAGCAGAAACAGCAACCACAATAACTTTTTTAAATGTTCAATGCCATGGTTGCCCAGTGTTGGAAAATTGGGCAAGAACAACATTGCCCATAGTCAAAGGAGCACTCCAACATCCATATCCAAGTAACTCTTTATCCAGTTACATGACAAATATGCAGCAATAAGAGTATACATCCTATATTCTTAACCATCATCTTCCATATGCTAGACCAGCTTTGAACAACAGGAGCATTCTGGTTTTGCATTTCAGTAATATTAGTCCTATTTTTTAAACTGGAAAAAGCTATAGAAATATGAGCAAATCCAAGGATTTTGCTGTAACAAAACAAAATACTTCAAAATATGAAAATAGAGGATGGGGAGGAATTTTGTCGTCTTTGTGGCGCTGCTGATGTCAGGGACTGAATTTCTACGTTGTCCTTGGGCGAGAGGATTGCAAGAATGGTACCTAAGATCTAACAGATAAAGCATTTGGCCACATCATGGACTGAAATTACAGATGTTTTTAGTGGCTAGTGCAGTATGTGGTAGTAATTAATCCATTTTAGATAAATCTTTTTTTTTAAACTTCTGATCTTGCTTAAACACTTAGAGTTAGTGAATTACTTCATAGTGAGGGATGTTACATTCTCTTATGTCTGTTATATCGCTTATCTATATATTGCTCTCCTCTCTATTGCATTTTTTTTGGAAGAATAGTGCAGTCTTGTCTCTGGTATTTAAGAGGTTGTACAAAGTAATTGGAGCGAGAAATGAAGAACTCTGTTTTAAACTGACTCCTGCCCCCTTTTCACAGGCTAGTGCTGTCATTAAGGTTCCCCAGGCCTAAACTGGGCTTCATTGTGAGATCATGAGGAAGTTGAATTTGGTGCAAGTAACTTGTTAATCAGGCAAGATATTTGAGGATGAAAAGAAGCATATGTTCTGGCCAGATATCTTCTTTGTGCATCTTCACATTATCTGAATTTGTTCCCTTTTAAATAAAACCAAAACTTACTACTTTGTGATCACCTGTCTGGGAGAGTCACACATTATCAAAAATACTTAATTATAAACATACATCCAGAATCACCTGCTGACAGAGGTTACTTTGCTCAAAGCATTGTTTGTGATGCTGAATGCCTGTCCCTTTGAGTGGAGTTTGTCTTAGTTTGTGTCAAGTTCCCAGCCAAATGCAAAAGTGCTTTCAGATTTGACAAATTCCATGTGAAATGCAAATAGTGAAATGTGTTTGAAAATTTATTTTTGTTCAGATTTCTAGATGAATATTCCAGAAAAAGTTTGCATTATATGGGAAACTTAACGGGTTTTTATGTGCTGCTAGAAGAAGAAACCCTTCAGTATCAGTAAGATGAATTTAGTGCATAAGGAAGAAATGTGAAGTGGTATAGGAATTTCTAGCTGTTTTTGAAAGGATTTTATTAGATGACTGTCACTGCAAATATACAGGCATTTCTGCTATATGCTAGTGTGGACTGCCTCAGTTCCTAATACTGCTAATCTGTATGACTTCAAATGTTAAACTTCTTACACTTTTAGATTTACTAATCCTTATTAGATGTGATATTATTTCTTTTTTATTCTTGCCACAAAAATTTAATCTCCTAATCTCTTAACTCTGACACAAAATTGTATGTTATCAGAATAGCCCCTTAGGGCCCATTGAGTTCCACCTGAATTTTTCTATCTGCTGTCAGAAATACTTCTCCCTTCTGTCAAATGTTTAGTAAAAGAGATGATGGTATTGTATACTTTTGTGTTTGGCAGTGAAAGCCATTTTAAAGTAAAACCTGGTCTAGTAAATTCTGCCAGCTTGACATTAAACTAGACACAAGTTTACTTTAGTAACTTCAAAACCAAAACCCAAAACTTGCTTTCTTCCTAAGTAAGTATCAACAGTATTTTGGGCAGTTCAAACATAAATATGCTTTAGCATCCCATATACTTTAATGATGTGTGCATGTGTGTCTGATATGAGAACTGAGTGGACTGTCTTGAGCAGAATTTTATTTTTAAAATTATTTTTGTAATTAGGCAGAGAATAACTCTCTCTTGCATACCATGCAATCTGCTAGTAATAAAGTTCTGCCGTTATTGTTTTTGTCGTCTTATTGTGACAGATATAGGTAACTATTGAAAGGACAACTTATATTTACCTTGTGGTATTTAGCTGTTCTTTAAGGGAAAGCTGTATTGCTTAGCATTGTTATTTTGTTGATAATACTTAGCTCTGAGACAAGGAAGGTTGGCTGTCTGTGAGCTTCCTTAGGGCTTTTGTTGCCATGCGGCTCACTGAGCCTTGTCTGCAGCAGCAAAATACTGAATTACGATTCAGATTGAAATATATTAGAGTACGGTAATGGTGACTTGCAGTTTTGTTACCTCATCAGCTGTGTGCATGTCTGCTTTACATCGCATGAGCTTTTCTTAACACCTATTCTCGTACGTATTTTCATGTTTTTTTCCCCAGTGGTATTCTAGCAAAAGAACTGAAAAGTAAATGTGTTAGAAACTACTCTAAGCAAGTAAAGCATCAGATAACCCTTCCTCCAACTCTCAGTAAGATCTTGTTTGTTTAGCTTCCTCATTTGCCAACTGCAGAACAGCGTCATGCTGTATGCAGTGAAATGTTAAAAGCAATAGGTAATACAGTTTGTGTTCTTCATCACAGAACACAGAGGGAGTGTTCTAAGATATTTTTCATAGTAAAACCACAAAATAGAAATCCTTTAATCTTGTACAAGATCACTTTTTAATTTGATCAAGTGTCCCCTGAATAATGCGTAACACGTACATTTAAAGAAATTACAAAATGAAGTGTAATAAAATGAGTAGTCTCATGAGGTAGATGTTATCTACAAATGTGAATGTTACTTATTCTGAGACTTTGCCATGTTAATACTAAACAAGCTATTTCTTTAATAAAGCTGGCTAACTTTTTTTTGAAATAGCATAATTAGTTCTGGAGTGGAAAGGAGGTGAAGAGGAGAACTAGCATTTTCAAGCGTTGTCTACTCATGTCTGTAAATCTGTAAACTGCTCTGAAGGCCAAGTTGAATTTTAAAATCTGTTTGTTTTTTTTTTTTTTTGGTGCAGGTGTATGTATAGAAGAACTTCTTTGTGGTAGGAATACTGAGATACTAAGTTTTTGTAATGCTGCCAGAATAAAAGTTTAAAATAAGTTGAGCTAATGAGTAACTTAATCTAGTATTACCAGTTAATAATTTGTTTTAAATACATTCAGAAAAGAATTCTGGATCTACTGGCTTAGCTACAGTTAAGTACCAGGTCTGTGACAACGTATGGCTGCCAATTAAGCTTAAAGACTAGAGTGCAGATTGACAGCAAGAAAGAAAGAGGAGGATGCCGTTAGTCTGACCAAAAAAACCCACCCAACCTCGTAAACAGCTAGGCAAGCCGTACTCTGGCGGGCAAAAAAGATGGTAGCTGTGAGACCGCTTGCACTGTGAGAGCCACTGTTGTGTGTAGGTGGTATCTCAGTTTGCAGTTACAATAACCAACACTTGCTTGCTTTTGTGCCCACGAAGTAATACTTCAAAGGCTTGAGGGGGTACTTAGGGAGAGGTTAAAACACAATAATCTTTAAAAGTAGTACAGGAACTGTATGTATCTCTAGAGCTGCTGTTGTGACTGGATAAACTAAATACTCGGTTGTACAGAGCTCATGGGTTATAGTAACCCTAACAAATGGTGGCTTAACACTATATTTTCTTCTAAGTTTGACCTCTTTAGAAAAAAGTTTTGTGTTGTTTCTCTTCTAGCTCTTTTTTTTTTTTTTTTTTCTTCCTGGTAATGTCTCCCCAATCCGTGTTTTTTCGTAGCCTTCAAGATGGTCAGCAAGGCCAGCAGCCCTCCTCCCAGGCCACAGTGCAGTCCCGCCCCCCCTCCCAGGCAGCTGGGCTCAGCGCTAGCGCCTCCTTGCTGGTGAGAAATGGGAGTGTCCACTTAGAAGCCTCACATGCCACTGCATCTGCTGTAGGCGGTAGCAGTTTGCACGATGAACTTGGTATGCAGGCCTTATGTAACCTTGGTGACATGGACGTTTTAATACAGCAGATGTATGGGTAATAATGCTCTGAAAAATCAGTTAAACGTAGCTTTGTTTCTGAATCTCGTGGGTGCATTGCTGAGAAGGAATTAATGAGCAATATGTCCCTGCCTTCCACAGTCTCTTTTTCCGTACGCTTTCTCTAACAAATGCACAAGGGGAAACACTTTAAAGATTCACAAATACAAATAATGATGTTGTAAGATCTTTCATGGCTTGAACAATATAACACCTGTAACGCATAAGTTCCTGTCTTAGTCTGCGTTGTCACAGGTAGTTGGGCAGAGATTGATACCAGCTCTGGGGCACTTCTAGCTCTTTGGGGAGAGGACGGGGGCATTTATGTTCCTTAGGGAATTCCTAGTCTTTTTTTTTTTTTTAATGAGTCTTGTTCAGCTGCTGTTTAAAAAAATTACCATGTAAAGGAGAATGGTTTCTATGTGCAAATTAATTTAGCAACTTGATCAGAAGAAAATCACAACTTTCTTGTATCAAATATTTTCAGTTCATTTAGTGCCCTGTGGTAGTTCCGTTTTTCTCTGTACGGTACTTGCATTTTATATTAAATAACTATTTATCAATTCACCGTTTTTCTATGAAGCCAATACAATTACTATGGGGAAGGAAGTTAAGATGATTGTAATAAGTGACTGATTCATGTGACTCAGTAAAGCAGGGATAGATATGGAAAAATTCCTAGCAGGGGTGTTTGCAGTAATCCATATGTGACCTGAACTGCTTGTGACTTTCGGCATTAATGTAGAATTCCTGCTTAAAATATTAACCTGGGTGTCTTTAGAGCTGACACTTATTAGTGACGTAGTATTTTGGGCAGCTGTTGGCTATATAATTTGAGTTATATAAAACTACAGGTTAGCTCAGAACACTGATAAAACACTTTTTACCCACCTTACTGTAATCCACGACTAAAAGATAAACGCATATAATCTTACTCTGCCAGTGGGGAAAACTTCAAGAATTGCCAGGCTCTGATGCCACTTGAAATATGCAATGAATTGTAACTTGTTAACCAGACTGTACCTTCTAGTTGCAATATAAGAAAAATTGAAAACAGCCCACATGTTCTCTAATATGTTTTATAAAATTAACTACATCTGTGGAAAAGACACAGTCAGCTTACTGTTTTGTTTTAGATTCTGTGGTTCTGGAAGTTTCTAGATAGAAGAATCAAGACTTAAGTTTATGTATCTCTGAACTATGAAAGTGTACGAGGTTAGCTGTACTAGGTATTTTTTTAACTATTTAATCTGGAGCCTTGTATTTCTTGTTTGAAAGCTTTATTGTAATATAACTCTCATGAAATTCAAGGATGCTTGTTATATCTGTCCATGCTTAAAGCCAAGTTTTATGCTTGAAGCCACCGTTCTTATATCCGAAAGATATGATTCACCTTACCCCAAATAACACAATCAAGGTTTATACAATTCCAAATGTAATACACAATCCAATTTTTAACAGACAGTACCACAAAGTTTTTAAATAATTTAGGCTTTCTCAAAATTGAAGTGAATTTTTTAAAGAAATTCAACACTTATTTCGGGCTGTCTGAACAGTCGCTAGGAGCGCAGTGCAGTGGAGTCTTAGAAGAATTTAATTGTTAGACAAGTTCTGAAACTGTGTGTACTGCGCTCACAGCAGCGTGGGCTGGAACGTTGCCAGTGGGAGGCACAGAACTGCCAGGGTCTGCTTGGTTAAAAATCTAATGTGTAATAGAGATTTATTCTTGACTTAAAGCTCTTTAGGAGCTTGAAACATCTGTTTCTAAACCTCCACTGAGAGAAAGCAGTTAGTGCAGGCAATATTGTCTGTCCTTCCCCCCTTCCCGCCTTTTCAAAAAACAAAACAAAAAAGAACAACCTCTAGTCAGTATGGCAGCCTCCCCAAAATTCAGTGGTGTGAACAAATGTCTTCAAGATGTATGTTTTGTGTGGCAGATGCCATCTTTTCCTGGACTAGCTAATACAGTTGGCAAAAGGGAGCAAGCTTTCATGTGCACAGTCCCTTCATCTTGCCTGACAAGGGAGAGCAAGGATAAAGATACCTTCTGGTGATGAGGAAAGATTATCAGGGCTGAAATAATACTGCTGCTCCATTTGGCTTAAGCCTACAGACTATTGTTTTTGCTCTGTTGTTCCAAGTTACGTTAGAGTGAAAGATGACCCCTTTTTTTGTTTTAATTTTTATGCTGCTGTTAATCAAAGCAATGCAGGCAATAAGATTGGGGGTGTTTCTTGTTTGGTTTATCTTGTTTTTCCTATATTTTCCCTAAGCATTTTTTCTAGCTCCCCTGGAAGACAAACAGGGCATGTATTAATGTATGTGAAAAATATTAGGACTCAGTTTTCGTGTACAAGTGCAATATCTGCTTCCTTATCTTTCTACTTTCCACTAGCATGTTGATGTCAAGCTGCAGCTCTTGAAAACATGCAGGATTTCTTGATTTGAAGGTTCATGTCTATTAATTTGATTCTCATGACTTATTTTATGAAGGGTAAACCTTACTGGATTATACCTAGCCTACACTTCGTCTAGTCAGGAAGGTAGAAGAGTGGATTAGTGGAGAGTGTGGCCAAATTTTAAGCAGCCCCATAGCAGAGGTTGGAAGTTGTACAGTCCTGAGCTATTAACACTTCCTGTTTAGGTGTAAAATAAGCACTGAAGCTTCCCAACAAGAGCAGTGGCTTGGCAATGACCGTGCAGTCTTTTTTTAAGACTTGCAGGGCATTGTCCTGCTGGTAACACCTCAAAGCATCTCTTCTCTTATTTTTTAGCCTCCCAGGTTTGAAGTAGAAAGGTTTTTATATTTCCCTCTGTTGCTTCAGGAGGGGTGAGGGGGGAAGAATGTTAAAGGGTGGAAAAGGAAGCTTGATGTGGAGCAGTAGATGACGAAAATGATGGGAGGAAGACGGGACAGAAAGGAAAAGTGACAGATCGAATATCATGATGTGTTACAGGCAGGACTAATATGATATGAATCCAGAGAAGGGGACCGGGCGGGAGGGGAACAACAGACCGTGACTTGATTGAATTACAGTCTTCGAAACATAGTCTGGCAGCACTGATAACCTTTTATTCTCACTAATAACTAATTCTCAGGACATGTAGGTGATGAGTAGAATTTTTGAAGCCTTGTGACAAGGCTGTGGGTATTACAATTTGAAGTAGTTTGGAATCCAAGTACTGAATTGTTAGAACAGATGCTCAGTTTCTGAAACTGGGGTGAAATAACCTGTTATCCTCAACCAGCTGCTTTTTTTTTTCGTGCTAGAAAGTATAACTGGAGGACTGTTGCTCTTGTGATTAGAGATCTAGTCATTTGAAGCTCTACAATGCAGTTACTCTGCCGTTTCTGGTTGTATTATATAGAAGTGATAATCTCTCAGATGTATGTATTTCAATTTATGAAGGTTGTTGGATCTTCCTGTTGAAGATAAAAATGTCCCATACTGCCTCTAAATATTAATCAAATAATTTTTCTATGTATATATTTAAAACAATTCAGAATCAGTTTTAAAAATAAGTAAGTTTTATTTAGGATGGATGGGGGAGCGTTTTCGAAGGTACAGGTAGAAGATAAATACTCGCTTCCTGTTGTCCCCATTGAAAATATCCCTGTTGTAGTCTATGGGATTCTTCATAATAGGTAGGCTGTTCGTTCTTCATTCCGAATAAAAAGTAAACCTCTTTGAAGTGTCCAAACTACAACTATGTAAGTTTCAATATTGCAGCTAAAGATAAATTTTTTTGACCTTTTGCCAAAATTTCCTTGCACAGCAGAGCTTCAAATTCTGATAAGCTCATTGGTTGTCCGAAGCTTTAAAGTACTGCAATAAGTAGTAGATGATATATTCTAATAATTCTAATGATGTTGTAGACTTCATGTGCAAAAATGGTTAGCAACATGAACTAGTCCATGAGAAGTTTGAAGCAAAGAAAGATATTATTGAGCAGAAAACTGGAAAATGTACTGAAAATAACTTGGCTGAAGAAAACATCGAAACTCCATTTTAGCTGGATGCTAAGTCACTTAGATCTCTTCTAGGTTTTATCTGTGTAAGCTCATCAGTCTGTTGCTTTCATTGATTCCCAAAACTGCAAAAGGCCAGTTCATGCAGTGTGTGAATCATAATGCTGTCTTTGGACACAGTGATGAGATTTTTGTTCTTTGAAATGAGTGCGTGCATTCATCTTTTCCTCTCCTCATGTCAGGATGAGGCTGTAATCTGGACTTGTGTGCCTGAATATCATTGATTTAGTTTTATCACTTTTGTAACTAGTCTAAATGGAATATTATTTGGGTGACTTTAATTTGCGAAGAATTCGCAGCTCTCCCTTTCTGAAAAGCTGCCAATGTTTCTCTTTAGTGGCCAAACATATTACTGGCTGTATTTCTTTATTTGTGAAATCAACTTTTGAGTTTGCCTTTTGTTTACAGCCTGATAAAACTGTAGTCCTTTAAGCAAATAAAAAAAATTGCTCAGACAAATTCAGTTGTGATGCTATGAAATATTTCAGAGAATGATGTGGAAGAACTAGGAATGGGAGGGGGAGAAGATTACCAGGATTAACTGTAAAAACCTCTAAGTAGATCCCTAAATATTAAATCTTGTGAGCACTGGGGTCCCTCATTAAGGTATGAGAGTGCTGTGAGGAAGCTGTCAATAACCTTGTGCAGTTTAAAAAAATATTTATGGGCTTTGGAGCTCAATCATACAACGTCCATTTACACCCTATAGCTAGCTTCTTCTCCAACACTGACAAGTTTTTGCTACTTGGGATGATGTCAAGTTTTTTTTTTTAAATACTCTCCAGAAAAGTGTGTGTGGGGGGGGAAGACAACTGTATCTTAATGAGAACTTGCCTGAGTTAAAATTCTAAAGCCACATTTTTCTTGTCAGTGAGCTCACTCTCATTAGGAAGTTGATTTTTGTAGAGGGATGCATGTAAGTATGGCAAAACCTGATTTGATTTTGTAGTTCATGTGCAGACAGTCTGGTGTTGTTTCATCTGTTTGTTGAAATCATTTAATACATCTCTATTTACCAGGCTTGTTTTATCCCACTACAGTCATGCAGTACTTATCATCAGTGGAAATACAGGAATTTGTAATAGACTCAAGATGAGTTGGGCATGAGGGGACCATAGGTATTTCCTAACGTAAAGTTCTGTTATGCTGATTTTTTTTCCCATAATTATAAACCCTTCTCAGATGTTGACCTTATTGTGTAAGGCAGTTCAGTAAACTTTTGAAACACACTTATCTAATATATTATCTCAATCCAAGAGAATGTGAAGAAATAACTTCACAAGTAGTATGTTATAACTTCTGTGACCAGGATCTCAATTCAGCTCTACAAAAGCATGAACTTAGTGTCCCAAACTCGCTTCTTTCTTTTAAGAACTGGTTACGTGGAGGGTTTTTTTTTCCCCCTAATAAGTTATAAATAATTTTGTCCATACTAGAACTTAGTGTATTACCCAGTTATCTTTGTGGTGTTGAAGTTTTCTTTTACTGAGGTACTTGTGAAATATATCCATGTATCGAAGATCCAGGTGTGGTGAGGAAGACTAAGTAGTGTGCTAGATTAAATTTCAAACTTGCTTTCATAGCAACTGTTAGTACACTAACTAAAGGATGCTTAACTGAAGGACTTCATTAGTATTATTTGTAGAATAGTTAAGCTCCTAACAAGTGAATTTTGTACTTATGTTTCCTTACAAGTACCTATGGTAGATATAACAAAATATTGAGGGAAAACTGTTATGTTATTGAATTCTGATGCATACTGTCCATGACTCCTAAATTAGGTAGCTGTCTTATCAGAATGGTCTTTTCTTTAGGGTAGAAATTTTTATGAAAATGTTTTCATGGTACCAGTATTTTTCCTTAGTTTCACTGTTTTTGTAATCCATCCAGTTCTACTACTTAAACTCTTCATTTTCAAGTGCCTCTAGAAAGAACTCAATTTCCTGAGGAACTGAAGAGAAGTTAGAGTAGGAGATGGAAAGGAGAGGAGGAGAAGAGATGGGGAAGGGGGGGGGGAAAAAGCTGTGCTCTCACAGCCTTGTCCCTTATCAGCATGAGGAGAAAGAGAACTGTAGGGCATATGGCTGAGAGGTGTATGCAAGTTTTGTTTCTGATGCTCCAAAGTTGGGTTTTTGTTTTGTGTAAGCAGGTCTTAAAACACTTCATGTTTTCCATCATGGCTCAAAAGGCAGGTTGTGAGCTAGAAGAGATGCAGAAATTGGCAGGGTGTTTCACGTGAAAAGATCTTAACTTCAAAACCTGCTTGCTCTGTGCTTAGCTGAAATATATTGGCCTTCAGGGGAAATTACAATGCTTATCTCTCTAATCAGACTGTTGTAGAGGAAAGGGTACTGTAAGAACATCACCTTGCGAGTAAGGTAACTTATTTGAATTTTCATCTATGACTACTTTTATTGTTATGCATAGGCTTGATATTGTTCATTCAAAATTATTGTTTTAATGACAAGCTTAGGAAGCCATGGTTTTAATGGAGTTTCAATAACTCCAAATGGTTTTGCATACTTCTGTACTTACACTGAAGTGTTTTCTTCTGGTTTGAAGACTAAATCTCTGCCTGCCTTTTTTTTTAAAAATTTTCTCCAGAGGTATAACTAATGAAGCACGTCTAGTGATTTCTTTCCAAATAGACATGTACGTTTTTAAAAAAAACTTAAACTGAACCCTTAAGGAATCTCTGCTGTAGCCAAATGCCATGGTTCCTAAATGCTCATAGAGAATGATTCAGGGGGGGTGGGGGAAAAGCTGAATTAGTTGGTCATTGCAAGTTATTTGTTTCCTTGTTATCTAAGGGGGAAGGAGGGAAAAAAAAATCTGTTGTGCTTCTGTTGTATTAATGATAACATCTCTATAAATATGAACTCATAAAGTTTCAGTGCTGCAATTTACTGTATATGTTGTAAACTGGTATGAAAGAGGACTGAGTAGCTAAATTCTTACTCTGTGCTGGTAACGTTAATGTGTTGTCACATTTTATATTCTGATAGTGATATAAATTTAGGTATTTAAATCAGTCTTGTTAGTAAGCTAATGTATAGAAACTAGTGCCAGTAGGATGAAACGTTATGGAATTTTGACCTTGTTCTTGACCTTTTCTTTAACAGGTAAGTTCAGTTCTACGCTCTACGAGACAGGGGGCTGCGACATGTCACTTGTGAACTTTGAGCCAGCTGCAAGAAGAGCATCCAACATCTGGTGTGTGTGAAGGCCAGTCAACAGTGATGATTCTTGTCTTACTGCAACAAAATCTCTTAATTTTAATTTTAAGAGGTCATTTAGTATGGACTACAAAAAACATTTTTTGTGTAAAATATCTCTGTATTTTTACTTTTGAAACCTAAGTGATTTTTACTAGCAGATCATATTAAATGGGTAAATAATCTTCTCTACTTAGGCAAATCTTGGAAAATGTAGACTAATATTAAGTTTAATAAATGTCCACATTGAAAACTTGACATATGCATTTCTGATTGGCTTACAGGAAGTTTTTCTTAACGAGTTTAACTTGGGTTTTGGGAAGGAGGAGGCTATTAATCATAATTACTGTTATTTACAAAACTTTCAGTTAGGAAGTGAATGTAAACCTGATAAGTTTGTTCTCGTGTTCGTAGATGGCATGATACAATACAGGGAAGAGTTAACATGCCTGAGGTTAAAATTTGACTTACCATTGAAATAGCCAGCTGTGTACTGGAGAGTTCATCTGCTGTTGGAAAGATGCTCTTTCCTCCTTTGAAAGGACAGGAGGCAGGAGAAGAAAAATAACCCAAAACCTCCCTGCAAAAATCCACTCCATTACACAAAACTGCTCTGAAGCTATTATATCATGCTGAGTGCTACTAAGCCCTATCACATGCTGCTGGAATAGCGATTGGATTTATGGAGCGATGCATTTCAAAAACTTCGTCTTCAATTCTTCCTGTGAAAGTGTGCAAGTACCTCTTGTAGAGCTGAACTTTGACATCAAGTTCTGTATTCCTTGCACAAAGCTCCCAGTGCCCGCCTCTACTGCTTGCGTGTTCCAGATGCAGTGGCTTTGCTGATGGCTGCTGTCATGAATATGAAGCTACGTATGCTAGTGAAAGAAGCAAGCTGGGCACGTCCAAACACTGAGATCTCAGCTTTTCTAGACAGTACTTAAATGTCAGTGAAATACATAACGAAGACAGCTTTTAACTTAAGACAGGGAACTGAAGGAAACTTGCTTAAACTTGATGCAAGTCTTGGTCCTGTGATTTACATGGAAAACATATAGCTAAAAGCTGTCTAAAATTTGGAAGAAAGTAGTAATTGGATATGGACTTAAATAAGACAAATTTGTCCTTATCTCTATCAGTAGCTAACTGATTTAAAAAAAAATGATACTGCTTTATAAAATGGAATTATTTCCGTTGCATTAACCCTCATTAAGCAACTAAGGGATCTCTAGCAGTCAAAGCTGTACAAGCCCATTGTCAAGATTTGTTTCTTTTCTTGGTTGTGTGTAAGGTTTTAAAAAAAAAAGAAAGATACCTGTGTTTTAGAAAATGTAATTGAAGAAAAAAATTTTTAAGCTGAAGTTCGGAAGTGGTCGGAATTAGAGTAACTAATTTAGTTACTCTAGTAACTAAATTAGAGTGGTTTGTTCAAATCAAATGTAGTTTTATAATCTGAAGTCTTTCCCCTGTTCTTATAGTGACACGGACTCTCATGTATCGAGTTCTACCTCAGTTCGCTTTTACCCACACGACCTAGTAAGTTTTAAAATTTATTTTTAAAGCATGCAAAAAATCAGGACTTTGTTTTTATAGCACTGATTTAATGCTCTGTTATTTGTTCTTAAGATTTTTTTTTTTGCCTGCATTCAAATGAAGATAAATTTCTATTTACCCTTGCAGTCTTCATATATACAGACAAATTCCTCTTTCTGCATAGCACTTTAAATATAAAGGGTTTTGTCTGACCTGAAGCTTAGTAATTTGAATCTAAACTAGGTGGAAATCTGCTGTACTGAGATATCCTATAAAGGTTTCCAGAGACTGGATAACTGTACTTCCCAAGTTTTTTTCCTGTGCACGGCTAAGAACAGCAGGTGGCGGGAAGAGTAAATGTCATGGTTTTTGTTCTGCAATGTTCTGACCAAACATAACTTCAGTAATTTCTCTGAAAGGAATTTAATAACCTGTCATTGGAAGCTCTTGCACAAAGTTTAATTCATATGAAATGAGTCCTTGAAAAAAGGCAGAGGCTTACACACCTTCATCCTGCAAATAACTTCATAATTCCCTGGCTTTATGATCTCGGGCCTCTTAAATTGCTGTCAAGTCCAAACGTACCTGTGCTTGTGACTTGGAAGTCCAGTATTGCTGTGTCACTAGAACCCTGCAAACGATCATGGTTCTAAAGATGGGAAAATACAGCATGTTGAACTGTTACTGTTAACAATGACAACCTACTCAAGAGGGGAGATGGAAGTTTGATTCTGCGCTTGGCAGAGTAGCGAGAAACCTCCATTTGCCTGATCATGCATTTTATCAATAAAGTGCTCCTCGAACCTAGTGGTTGCTAGGGAAACTCTGTTTTTTTCCAAAGGATGTAAGCCTTCAAGAGAGAGGCACTGCATTACCTGTTACGTGCTGTTGACTTATCAATGTGGTCTTGTTGAAGGAGATGTTTGTTTAAGTTAAACTCCTGAAATTTGAAAGTGTAGCCCTTATGCCTGAATGGGAGCTTCCACTTGAATCTATTGTTAGTGTCGTGAATGTTACGTTACAGTGATATTCTGCTAGTTAAAAAAACAGGCTTTAAGGTTCTCCAGAAAAATCATTTTCATCTTAAATAGTATGTTTTTGTATTTTGAAACGCTTTTAGAAAGTGAATGTTCCTGATTGTTCTCTTGTTTCTTTTTAATAATTTTTTCCTGGAAAGGAAAAGCTGTCTGAGCATAGTTTCAGTATGCTAATGCCTTCAAGAATCATGAAAAAATGTTCGAAAGTTAGAAATTGAATGTTGAACTTTAAGATAATTGTAAGATGTAAAACTGTACTTTTGAAACTTCTAGGTGATATGAGCGCTTAAATTTTACTTTCCTTTAAAACATTGTAAACAATTTTCCTTAAATGACATCGTAGTTATAGTATTACTTAGGAATAAATAGGAGTTCACTAAGATATTTCTTAGCCTGTTAATGAGACTTATAAAGTGGGTTAGATTAGGCATCCATACTTCAGGAAACTTTCTTGTTAACCTTCCGAGCTTTTCTTAAATGTCCTTTGTGGTTATTAGTGTTACTGTGATTTTGAGAGAACTCTAGGGGGAATAGCAGTTTGAAGAATAACCGAGAAATTATACTCGGCCATAAATAATACTTGATTGGTTTGGGCAGAGTTTTGCTCATCCCTGAGTATATTCAGAATGTTGTAGGCTTAAATCGGACTACTGATGATATGGACGCATGTTGCTTTGTCTTGCAAAAAACAGCAGTTCAGCGTGTGTGTGTGTGTGTGTATGCAAACTAGCTGATGACATAAGAAACGTGTTGTTGTTTGTTTAAAGTCAGGATTAGATTCTTGTACTAAGCGTTACTCCTGCTCTCATCTATCAGTTTATTGGTCTTCAGATATGAAGTTTTTAGAGTACATGGAATAATTTGCCTAGCAGATAGATTCACACTCGTTTGAAATAAGTTAAATGATAGAATGCTGAGCAGTTGTGTTGTATACGAACAGTTTTTGGTGCTGGTGCCATTCATTTACTATGATAAGGGCAGAAAGAGTAGGCCGAAATCTCAGAGCAAACAGTGCTTAACTATAACTTCTCAAAGCTGAAACTAAATAATTCTAACCGTTATTTTCAAAGTAATATTTAGTAGGATACAGTGATATAACATAAATAGGCTTTTATTAATACTGACTTTCTTTTAGCTTTCTCTTCCCCAGATCAGATTGAACAGGCTGCTAACCATAGATACAGATCTGCTGGAGCAGCAAGACATTGACCTGAGCCCTGACCTTCAGGACCACATGCAACCTCAAGAGGAAGCAGCTCAAAAAGTCAAACAGTACTATCGCTTTTGGATCCTGCCTAAGCTTTGGATTAGCATCAATTTTGATAGATTAACTCTTCTGGCTTTATTTGATAGGTGAGATCCTTGTACGTTCCTAGACTTCAGAAAGTAAAGATAAAAAATGATAACCAAGCTGACTTAATAGATAGAGGTATCCTTAGAGTACCATACTTACGATACTCTGAAAGATGAAAGAACAAAGCAAAATGCAGTTTTTCTAATATAATGAAAGTTATTCTTTTTCTCTAGCAATGCTAAAATGAAAAAAAACCTCACTCTGTGCAAGTGGGACAGTAACATCTCTTTGAACTGTCAAGAAAGAGATTTGTTGCAACTCTTCAAAGCTATAAAACAAGCTTGTCAAAAAACAAATTTCAAGTTGACTAGGACCTGACATACACCTATATTATTTCAGCAGGTAGAGGAAAACTAACCTGCTATTTCAAAGCTTTTTTCCGAAGGGAGAAAGTTACAGAACATTGTAACATGTCCCCTATACCTATTGGCATAAAATGAAAGTGACTCTCCTCTTATCAGCTGTGGGAGTATGTAAAACACTTAAATTTCAGCAGTAAACTTCCTTAAGATGATCAATGTAGTAGTGATTCTATCTAGACAGAAGTATTAGGTGTGTTATTCAGTGCTACTATACTGTATGGAATTCTCTTTAGTCCTCTTTGGATGGTTTAAAAGTATTCTCTCACAGTCTATACTAGTTCTTGCATTATAAAATCATGAGTGACAGATTATTTCTAGACAAGGTATCACGCATGTAGTTTTCCCACTCTCAAAATGTGAGGAAGGGGTTGTAATCATCCTGTGTGGAACTCAAATGTAGATTTATATTACAGACCATGCTGCTTCTAGCTGAGTTTTAAATTATTTCTGAAGCTATCAGTGGTGCTGCTTAAAGGTCAGTTCCACAAAATACTAATTGTTTTCAGCTGTCATTGAAATCCTGGTAGCTTCTCTACTAGCTTTGCTAATAGGCAGTGTGCTAATATAGTTTATGCAAGTTCAAATTTATTCTTAACTACTTTGTTACCGGCAGTATTTTTTGTTTGTTAACACCTGACCCTAGCTGCTTCCTTGCAAGTTTTTCTAAACATAGTTAAGCTATTAATGCTATCTCTCTTTTTTGTTTGTTTGTTTTTTTTTCCCCCTAATACAGGAATCGTGAGATCCTTGAAAATGTGTTAGCTGTCATCCTAGCTATTCTAGTTGCGTTTCTGGGCTCTGTACTTCTTATAGAGGGCTTTTTCAAGGATATTTGGGTCTTCCAGTTCTGCCTGGTAATAGCCAGTTGTCAATACTCACTGTTGAAGGTATTTTTATTTCCATCTTCACTTTTTATAAACAGTAGAAATAACTTAATTCTTTTGTGTAACAAACTTCCATGTTCCAAAACATATGGAGACTGGGTATTGCATGCCACTTAGAGCTTTAAGGAGAACTCTGTGCGTGTGTATGTTTACAATGAAATGAGAACTTCAGCTTCTGGGAAAGTTTGCTAGATGGTCATACAAGGTCACTTACAATAGTTCTACATATGTTTATTGCACAACCCTTTATTTGTTGTTCTCATGTGCTTTCTGTTTTCCTAAAGAGGAAAAAATTCTTACTGGTTGAAAACCTAGTCTACAAAACAAACCTGAAATTTTATTATTTTTCAGTGGATCTACCTGAGTACATTCCTACTAAGTAAATATGCGTTTAAGCATATTTTTATTAGAAAAATCTTTCTTTTCACGTTTTTATTAAACAACCGTAAATAATATTTTTATAATTTAAGAACAATTCTTCTCTTCCTCCCCTCATGATTATGGTTAGACTATTAGGATGGAAATTGTTAAAACTTGAAATGCATAACACCTTTTTGTAAAACATTTTACATCGTTTTACTTTGAATATCCATTTTGAATAGATAAAAGTTTTGATTTCTTTAGAACTTGGCAGCAGACACATACTGTTTGAATATACTTTGTGATTTGTTTTAATATATTTTGCTATTTAGGGGCTGCGCAGTGGATAATCAATTGAGAAATTAATTTTAGGTGTTGTTAAAAGAGCCTTAATTATTAAACTGGGGGGAAAAGTAGGGTAGATGAATTTATCCATAAGGTGGATAATTTTTCTCTCTGCATTTTGATTTCAGAGTGTTCAACCAGATTCTTCTTCCCCTCGACATGTAAGTCGTAGGCATGTTCCACTTGAGTAGTCTTGCGGATGTAGAACCTCCCCCTGCAGCGAACTGATCTCTTTGGTTTGAGCTTTTGGATTTCTCTTCTAAAGTGCTCCCTCAGGCACAAGAGGTGTATGCTGTCTCAGTGTGTGAGAAGTGAATGAAAATCCCCTCCTGCCCTGACTTCCTGCATATGTTTAGCATATTATGGTCTCCCATTTAGAGACTAGCTTGTGCTGCGGAGTTCTGCTTGTCAGTGAAACTCTAGTATTCAGGCAATTATACAGGAGAATAATGTTATAACTTACTTTGCTGATATGACCTGGCACAGCTTTGATAATATTCTGTACTGCCCTTGTAAACCATTCAGTTGTTCTAAGTGTGAACACAGCCTTATTTTTCCACTTTGTAAAACTATGAGTAGTAGCCATAAGGCTCTAAGAAGCATTAATGTTTGAGCATGGAAAGCTTAATATGCTAGTATTGACCAACATGAGGGTATTTTATTATGCATCTGCTAGATTGCCAGGACAAAATATTTTTGGTATGTCCTAAACAAGATGTGAAAAAGCACTGTTCCTCTGCAGCAAGTTATTCATAGCATTTTAGGTAATGAGTTTTAATGAATGCATAAATAAAGATTTTCAGCAGCAGCAGTATCTGATCAATAAGCCTTAATTGCTGTTTCTTCCAGACTAATATTTTCTTTTCTATTGCTTTTGAGACCTAGTCAGAGCTTCCTCTGGTATTTAGTATTGCAGGAAAAATACTTTAAAACTCAGTGGAGAACAGGGCAAACATAGCCTTAGTCTACCTATTATGTATTCATTACATTAAAGCTGCAAAACCTGTGGATTTATAGCACTGAAAAGCAATACACTGAGGATTTTATGATCTAAACTTAAGGGTGTGGTGGGATTGCAGCGCCATTGCAGCATTGTGGGAGTAGCTGATGAACAGAAATTAAACTTTAGTTGTGAAATACTTTTCTGATAATAAAATCCTTTCTTTGGACAGTGAAACAAATATCTTTTCTTTTTCCTTCCCTGAAACAGGGTCATAATCGTATCATAGCCTATAGTAGGCCTGTATATTTCTGTTTATGTTGTGGTCTTATTTGGCTGTTGGATTATGGCAGCAGAAACATATCTACAACAAGATTCAGGTTGTATGGAATGGCTTTCACCAACCCATTGCTGCTGCTGTCAGCCAGGGACTTAGTTATAGGTGAGTGGCTTTCTTGTGAATTTGAACTGTTTGCTTCACCGCAATGGAATTATTTTGTTTTTAAACTCTAAATTTCTGACACAGTTGAATCATAACCTTCTAACTGTACTTTATTTAGTTTTCTCTGGGAGGAGTAACTTTCGATTTGCTGGTGTTAATAGGAAAGTTTGTTTCCCTTCCTCCCTTTCCCCAAATTAGGCTTTGCTGTCAAACTGTTGGGATGTCAACTGAAATGCTGTCCTAGTTGACCTAGAAACTTTTCTGTTTCCCCTCCCACTACCTAGTAGCTCAATGCTTGGCCCTAAACCCTTATTCTTTGTTCTTAACTTGGGCTGGAGTATGTTTTCTATGCTTGGACCCAGCTGCTCAGCACTTAAGGATTTTGAAATGGACTTTTTTATAGCCTTCCATGGAGGGGCTTTTCACAATTGAGCAGGAGCCCTTTTAAGGCAGGTTATTTATATTTAGTGGTTGCGCAGAGCAGTAGGAACACAGGAATTTGTAAATACATTACAGACGGATTAAATCTCATTTAATGTCTTATTTCAGAACAGGTCTCCTGTCAGCAATACCAAAAGTGTAACTTTGGGCTGTGTATGAGGTGCTTGTGTTGTATTTGGAGGAGGGCAGTGCATTCAGAATAGTGCTGGCATTAAAAAGCAAACAAACAAAACAGGAAAAAAAAAACAAAAAAAACCCCAAACCCTCCCTCCTCCCCCAAACACAAAAACAAACCACCACACAAAACTTCAGCCATGTTTATTTACAACACTTGTTGCAAGTAGTAATGGCTATGTAATCTTGGGCAGAGCCGATAGACAGGACAGACAGAACTTAAGATACTTCAGCACCATCCTGTCATGGGAACATTGTGCATATTCTTTTAAGAGAGCTAAATTATTTGGGTAATTCCCTTTGGAAAGGAGAGAAATTGCCTAAGAAGTCAGCCAAATTGAACACACCTGCTTTTTCTCTGTACCAAAATGTTTATGTGCAAAAGAATGCAACAGTTGAGTGTTGTGAATGTTTGACTCCAATTGTTGAACAGTCTTTTATCCAAGAAAAAGAAAAACTTATTTGTTGTTCTGGGTTTCTTGTTTATTTTTTCTTTTTGGATTTGTAATTGATGAATAGCAATTACTAACCCAGGCGTTCTGAAAGTTAATACTTGTGATTTGAACATTCTGAATTTCATACCTCACACTATTTTCCTCTTCTATTTTCTGCTAGTGAATCTGTACTAAAATTAAACTGTCCAGAGGGAAAAGGTCTAAGCCTCTTATTTATGGACAGAGGATTGTCCAGGCATTTCCAGAGGTGTTTTCCTATAACTTCTCTGGAGCTATTCATGCACTGGTGGTCGTGGGGTTCGTTCCATATCTGTAATGGAAAAAGGAGTTAAGACTGCAAATGTTCTTTGAATCATTCAAGAAATAAACTAGTTTAATTTCCCCTTATTTTATGCTCAGAGGTCTTCTCTTCCCTTTCCACTTAACTCGAGTCACTGCAATACTGTTTATCCATATTTCCGTAAGGTGGAACGTATGTTTCAGTATAGGCTGTATATTATATCGTGAAAGTGATCTATTTAAATGTATACTTTAAGAGTCTTTTCCTCCACGTAATCTTGTACTTACGGTGACTTCACAAATGACCCAGTCTTAAAAGCATGTTGGCTTCTTCCTCCAGACTACATCCATTTTGGATTTATCTTTTAAAAGTTTTTAGTTTCAATGTTTTAAAAACTTTTTGGTCCTTCTGTTTCCCTTGAGATGCTATTCTCAAGTATCTTGCTGAAGCTTACGCGGTTTATATTTCTTAACAATTCCACATATAAAAATCAGATTGCTAGAGCACCGCTTATCAAAAACTGCGTTTGGACCAGCTAATGGCATCACTGAGGCACTGTTTCAAAACCCTTTGCATATAATGTGAAGAACGTTGACTGCTACAAACGTAAATTGCTAGCCCAAAGTAAAAATCACAGCTACCTTTTTGCCCATTCTCAGGCACATCTACTAGAACAACACAGGTGCAGGGCAAGACAAACTTCAAGTCTGGATGATGCAATTGCTGTGTCCTACCAGCAGACAAGGGAGGGCTAGGATTAATTTTTAAGCCTCCTGTGTATTGGAATTAGACAACTAGTTTAAACCTGCTCTGCTTTAATACCGGCTGTTTTCTGTTTTCTCCTAAGTGGTCCCCATTAGGGAGAGAGCAAGCTTATTATAAAATTCAAAAGCCATCAGAAGTATTGGCTTTTTGCTGGACTGCTCCTTACAAATTGTATAGTCTCAAATGTTTGTTGTTGTTAATTTTCAACTGATCCATGATAGTTCAGCCTTCAGGCCTTCACAAAACAACCTCTTAACTTCTCAGTAAGATAGCACTATATTGGTTTCCTCCTGTATGGACTTTCTCCAGTAATGGTTTAAGGTTGACATGAGAACTCGGACAATTACTTCCTACAGGTCCTGAGTAGTCATGTGTTTCCTAACTTGTATTAGCAAAAAGGTACAGAACTCAGTGTTTTTCCCTGTTCCTGAACGTATGTATTTTTAAAAAGCTTTTAGCTATTTAACTTTATCAAGGAATGAAGCGTATATGTACAATCAGATTCTCAGTACTTAATTCACTGTGGATCTTTTCTAACAATTTGGCCTTTAATATCCAATCGCTCTGTGGATATAACATTAGAGACTTAAAATTGACACTTGCAGTTCTTTACCAGATTCTTTACCAGATTTGGTTCCTGAAGCTACAAGTCAGTAAGGCTACAGAAAATCCTCCCCAAGCTGCCAGATTTTTATCTTCTAGGATTATTTTTGTGATATGATTCTTCTGTCCCTGGGAAATAGCGCTTATTGCATACTCTTTCTTGTGAAATGTGTCTAAACTACTGACTGCTTGTGTGTGAAAGGCAAAATTATTTTATATCCCTTATTTCTCAAAATGGAAAGTGAAGGATAGGCACAGGTTTGGACAGACCATTCTCTATATTAAAATTAAGTGATATTTGTTCGTTGTTGTGTTCTTATAAAACGTATAATCTTGAGTGATTTTAGCGGTTCATACAGAGTTACCCTTTTCTATTTTGTTCTGATCCAAAAGACACTTTTTAATACAGAATTTTTCAGAACTGGTATGGGAAAATATGGATAAACTTGTCAGACATTGTTGGCCGCAGAAAATCTAGGTGTGAAATGCCTGGCCACTCTTAAATCAGCGTGGCTGGTGGTAGCTTGCTCATGTAACTCCAGGCAGGCTAATAGGCACATGTGAGCCTTAGTTATAATGAAGGAAAACTTACAGATCTTGTAATCTGTAAACACTCTTGAATGATCTTTGCTAAAGCTTTATAACACAAAATTGCAGCCGTCCTGTACTGGCCCATGCCATTGTTTGTAGTGGTTAAAATCAAAATAAAATAAAGAACCTTCTGAGTGTTGGTCTATGTAATGACTCAGCTAGACTAAATATAGAGGTTAAAATATAGATTTGCATAATGGCTGTTTTCGTTAGAAATTATAGTAGAGAAGCTTTAGTGCTGTTGAATTATATATTGTTGATACCCTGGCACTTGAAGGAACTGATGAATACATTACGGTGCTGTATTTGTCACAGCTTTTTCAACTTTCTCTTTCCCCCCACAGTGTTTACGCTATGTTTCCCCATAGTATTCTTCATTGGTCTCCTGCCTCAGGTGAATACGTTTGTGATGTATCTCTGTGAACAGTTGGATATTCATGTCTTTGGTGGCAATGGTGAGTGTGGTTTCACATCAGTGACAAAAGCATTAGATGAGGGAAAAGCCATCAGATTTCAGAGCAGCTTACTAGGATAGTTTAAAAATGTAGTGATTACATGATTTGTATTCTTACCCTCTATATTCGGAATACTAACTGTATTTTTACAAAGACTGAAGGTCTTCTGATTTATTACTGAGAAATACAATTACCGTCCCAGTAAGTCTGTCAGAAGTATGGTTTCTTCGTATATTGGTTTCTGTGTTGCAGCTGTTAACTGTTCCAAGGATAATGCTGTTAGGAAAAGGAGATAAAGCCATATAAATCTGTTAACATTTTTTTTGTGGGGGAAAATAGAAGTAGTTGCTGTGGGTTAGGTCTCTTATGTCAGAGGGGTGTTGCAACTAGGGCACTGTCATTTTTCTGCAACAACCTGAAATCTTTTGTATTCTAACCTAACTAATTATGTATTGTTGACTTTTTCTTTCTTTTCTATGATGTACAGCTACCACAAGCCTGCTTGCAGCACTTTACAGTTTTATCTGTAGTATTGTGGCAGTAGCATTGTTGTATGGACTGTGTTATGGTGCCCTGAAGGTGAGTGCATTTATAGGCACAATATACATGAAAGTTTCGGGTCTTGTTTTCTGCTTTTCTTAAGTCTTGCATCTTAGATACTTAAATATGCAAAAAGTGAGTTAGAAATACTCTTCTGATTCGGCACAGTCTTGTAGTTGTTTTGCTGCAGTGCAGTTGAAAAAGATAGAAAGCAGGAAAACACCAAATTTTTACTTTCAAAAGCGCTATGAATTATTTCAATGAAATGCATGTCCTAACAGACAATTTGTTTTGCCTAAAGCACATGACACTTACCTTCAGTTACGTTCTACACTGGCGCTTGAGAAGACCACGCAACTGGCTCTTTTTTTGCACAGTGTTAATGTATTGGTATTTCCCTGATTTCTGTCAAAGTGGTTCATTTGAACATTTTTCCAGTGCTGAAAACTAGAAATAAAATGTTTTCAAATTAATGATTACTTAACAGAAGCCAGGAAATGGCTTATAGCGTCAAAGTGAAGAAGTGTGCCTACCTAAAAGTAGATTTAGCTGACAAGGGAATAAAAGAAAAAGCTTTTCCTTGCCTAAAATGCTATTTTGTTTGAAAACTGACAGTGCTGTTGGTTCTGTGTCTGTGTTAAATGCAGGTACCTATCAGTAATCAAATACACTCAGTTTACAATTACCCTTAGTGTGTGCTTCTTCAAACTCAGCCTGGATTGGCTTTTTTCCACTGTCATAGATAGTGAAAAGTTTGTTAGAGGAACTATTCCCATGATGCCATCACCCACAGAACATCATTAGTGTTCTGTGAATTTGAACAGGTATAACTCATTAGCCTTTTGAAAACACGTCTGTCAAAGATAAACAAACTTTAGCAGAGAATCATTGTCTCATCTCTGCAGGTCCAGTACAGATTATGAGACTAAAAATTGAATATATATCAGGATTGAGTACATTTAAAAAAAAAAAATTCTGAGTAAGAAGGCAGGCAATTTTCAAAATAAAGAAGTGACTAAAAATGCAGTTCTAAGGAGCTGTGGTCTCAAAGCATGTGGGAAGCTCTTCATGAGGGCTATGAAAACTGACCATTTAACGATTAAGAAATATAAGCTTGATGTACACTATGTTAAAGGTTCTGAATTGTACTTAGACACAGGCAAATATTGAATATTATTTTTGTACTGATATTACTGTTTCATTTTTGTTCAACTGTAAAGTTAATTTTTCCTTTCTTTTACCGTCATGTATGTAATTTTTGGATGTCAGATAAGTGCTATATACTTTTGTTTCCTAGTTATTAACATTTCATTTCTGTCCCCAGGATTCTTGGGATGGGCAGCATATTCCAGTTCTCTTCTCCATATTTTGTGGTTTGTTAGTGGCAGTATCATATCATCTCAGCAGACAAAGCAGTGACCCTTCTGTACTTTTGTAAGTGTCTCAGTTTGTATCTGTTCTCCAATCAGGAAGCAAGTCTTAAGGGAAAAGTATTGGCTGATGATATCAGAAGTACTATTCAAAGTGGTAGACATCAGCGTTATCAAATAGTGTAATGTTGGTCTGGTAACTAGAGGAGGAAGAGTAATTCTCAAATTTTGGAGCTGGTTCCTCCTTTAGCCACAACCTTTCTCTGACTTCTGGCAACTAACTTGCACTCCAAAGTCTGATTTAGGTGCCCATTAATGTTGTCAAACAATTGTCACTCAGATAGCATCTTTCTGCTGGTGTCTTTGTGTTGAATTACCAGAATGGCTAAACCATTCTGTATCTAAAGAGCTACTGAAAGCACTAGTGTAAGCCGAAGCCCACGTGCGAGTTCTTCAAATTGTGTTCTCTTACTTCATTGTTGTGTTTCTATTTTGAATGTATGCTCAAAGCACTAATTCAGATAGATTGATCCCAGATGAAAAACAAGTTTATTTTAGTGACTGGAGCTCTCCTCTAGCATGTTCATCTTCCATCTGAATTAGAGCATTACTCGGATGATGAGAGTAATTCTGATTCAGTTAATTATTATTTCTGTAACTCAAAATACTTTGAGTAGTAGAAGCACCTCCCTCAGAATTGCCAATCAAGGCTCAGTCAAATATCTGGGTTAGGCGGAACTTGAACTTGGATTTAAATTCAGCCATAGTGCTGGATAAACTTGATAAGCACTGTTCTATTAGATAGTCTAGGGCCTCTTCTGTGGACAGGAAAATCAGTGATTCCTGTCTGAGCGTCACATGCAGAAGGGAGACTTGTGTCTTTGGCTAGGTTAGACAGCTAAACCTTTTCCTGTAACTCCTAGTTAGTTTAGGTGACTTCATACTCAGTTGGTATGAGGTCCTTTTCCTCAGGTGTCTATTCTTTTCAAGTACTATATCACAGATGCTTGTCTGGCTTGTGGATTCCGCTAGTCAGCAGGATGCATCAGAGTTTAGCATTGCAATACTTCGAGCGCCTTTGAAGATCTAGGGCTTTGTTCTGCAGTCAATTTCCCGTCTGTAAAATGAATTTTTCTATATATGTAAATGTGTATATATCTATGTGAAAATATATACACATGCGTATACATGGTGTGTGTGTGTATATGTATGTGTGTGGGTGTATATATATAATCTTATTTCTATACCACATGAGGAATTGTAGGAAAAATTATTTTAAGGGATTGTGAGATATTTACATACGACTAGCAGTGCTGGGTATGGTTTTCTAACAGCTTCGGTGTAAGTTTTTTTCAGTTTAAGCACCAGTAAGGTCTGCTAAGAAATTAATTAGTAGTTAGGTTAGCATGGCCCATTTATGAATTAACTGTGGTAGCATATATTTTTGAAGTTTGAATTAAAGGAATTCTTGGTTCTCTGATTTGTGTATTGACAAATAGACCATTTCTGAGTTTGGACCAAGTTAAATTGTTGTTATTTATGCAGTAGAGCTTTTTGTTTCATGAATGCTGTGCACCCCATTTGAAAATTCAGCATTTGCACAATTACCCCTGCTGGTACTGGACAAACTGCTGTTTGAATAAGATCTGGCTACTGGTGGTGAAGTTCTCTTTAATGGTAGTCATTGTGTGCAATCATGGAACAGTTTCTTTTATATAGTTGAGATCTCATCTTTATAAATTAGCTCAACCTGGTGAAAGTACTGATTTGCCAGGATTGCTTTTTCTTGTAATAATCTTTTGACCTTTTACTTTTTAAAACCACCCAGTGCATGCTTTTCAGTGGGTTCTTTTTGTCTTGTCTTTTTTTTAAGCTCTTTAGTGCAATCCAAATTTTTTCCTAATTCTGAAGACAAAAACCCTGAGGATCCTCTGTCTGAAGTGAAAGATCCTTTACCTGAAAAGCTTAGAAATTCTGTGGTAAGTAGGCTTTTTTCTTTCTTTCTTTCTTCCAATCTAAGCATTTACTAGACTGATACAGTACCAACCAACACATAGATGTTACTTAGCAATTAACAATTGTTGTGAACTATAGTATTGGTTAGAGAGGGATAGCAGAGAGAGCATGAATATGATATTAAAGTCTGACTAGCTTTAAGAATTCTAAGTGCAGTGTATATACCCTTCTCGGATAACCTGCAACGCTTAAGAATACTTACCTGAAAACAGATGCTGAGATTATCTGTATCAAGGGAAAGAAAACCATTTTATATTGGGGGGGGAGGAGGTGGAGGGGTCCACTCTTATTGGTATGGAGGGGAAAGAGGATGCTATTCCATGTCAAGGAGGAGAAACAGAGAAAAGGACTCCTGCTCAGCTCTGTGCCTGGGGAGGCACATTCCAGTTGGTAAAGTTCTCACTGTGTTATACATATGTGACTATGTAACCAGCACTGCTGCTGAGCTGAGATTTTTTGGACAGACAGTTTGTGAGCTAAATGAAGAACATGCAGTGGTAGTATATGACACTAGAGGGAAGAAATTCTTAGGAATGGAGTTAGTTCTAATATGTTTTTTGAGTTAGAACTTTAGTATTTGAAAGACAAACGGCATTATATGCTTCCTTTAACAGGCAGCAGCTGTTCATCCAGTGTGAGAAATATTACTTGGTCAATCTCGTACTCTAAAAAACATATTCTTTCTTTTAATGTGTTTTTTGTATCAAGACTTCTTGTCTTTCCAAAACATATTGTCATTTGTTGCTAAATGCTATCTATGAAAATGATATTTCTTTAAAATCTGTAGATAAACTCAGATAAACCCATGTATTATGCTAAAAAATATGCTCATAATACAATTTAAGTTATTTATATAGAGGCATGTGAGAAAGTGGTGTTTCCCCGTGTTGCGCTAGGTGAAGGCTCACTGAGGATTTTCTGTTAACTCATGTCAATAATGTAAGTGATGATTGCTTTTGTGTGGAAATTAAAGTGGGAAAGATTAATGGTAATAAGACTGTGTTAACTCAGTATTTCTAGTAATTGTGAGCAAAAGCTTCGTATGCTCTGCTCCAGAAGAGGAAAATAGAAGTGGTGGGAAGTCATACTGGGCAAATGTAATCTGCTCCATTTACTTTAACATATGCTTTGAATTCATAGCGCAAATTCACTCTAAATGCTTAAGAAAATAATGTTTAAATATTACTGTTCTTTTTCACCTAATAAAGCAGCAAGCTTCAGAAGCATAGTGAGTTTAACTTACACAGAAGGAGTAACAACATTTAACCTTTAATTAAGGGAGAACATTTAACCTTTTTAGGGCCTGGCTCTAGAGGAATAACTGTATAGCTGGATTTCTCGTAGTATAGCATTCCTTAGTCTAGTAGACATAAGCATGAGAAGGTGCAATGCATTCAAAGTGCAAGTAGATACACAGAGAAACTGCAGTCTTTTTAATACTAATGGTGTTAACGCAACTTGTCTTTACTCCCTAGAATGGGAGATGCTGATACTAGTTTTATTCTAAATGCAGAAGCCTGGCTAGGGAGTGGGAGAGAGAGACCAAAGGAGCTGGAACCTCCTCTTTAGCTCTTCATTCCACATCTTTAGTTGCCTGTTTGGGGAGGAAAAAAAAACCTTGAGAAATTCGATGTATTCTTTCTTTTAATGCTTTTTGTATTAAAACTTCTTGTCTTTCCAAAAATAAACTGTATCCCAACACGTTAAGAACTTGAAGAAGAAATTGTTGTGTGTAATTGTTTGTCAAGTATTAGGGTAGTTAATCCAGTAATGCCTTTCTGATCTGGAAATACTAACGCTGTGTTTACACAGCGTGGGAATAGATCTAAAGTTGGAAGACCAGCGAACTCAAATGGCTATAAGTCTGTACCGCCCCCTTGTGACAGAATCTGGCGTTAACTGTCTTATTATTTGCCCGTTGCTCCCCCCAAAAACAAACAAAACAAAACAAAAAAAACTTTGGGTCTCACCTTTTTTAGCCATAACAGAAAATTCAAACTCATTGTACTTGCTCAGCCCTAAGCTCCTCTTCAGGTTCAGGGTCACTAATTCTTAGTTCTAAAGCTATCCTTTCCCATCCTGCAAAGGAGAGGGAGGGATGGAAAAAAAAAAAAAAAGAGCCTAGTTCTTCTACCTGACAGTTAGCTTTGTCTAGGCAACTGTCACCCAAAGCCCTCTGTTGGCTGATGTTTCTAAACAATTCTTTGATTGTAACTGGGAAAACTGGTTAGCCCTTCCCGCTTTCTTTTCAGTGCTGTTAGATAGGATCCTTATGCCCCTTCGCAGTCCAGAATAAGAGGGAGAAAATATATTTTGTATGTTAATTTTCTCTGTACCACTTTGGGTAGGTGTCTTTCCAGTTAACTCATTTGGACTAACATTTTGGCCGTAGGACTTGCCTTGTGTTTGCTAATACTTATTACAGGTTTCCCTTTGTAGCTTAGAAATAGGGGACTGAGGAACTGGAATTTCAAAAGCTTATAGGTATCTAGTGCTTATAGGTATCTAGTGCGATGTATAATTTCTAGTAACTTCAGTAGAAGCAGTTAATGCTGGCATAATTTGAAAATTTTGTAATCAGTTTGGATGCTCTGATGTTGAACTTGAAGACTTTGAAGAAGACAAGAAGAGCGGGTGTTTTCTTTTTAAAGAAAAACAAAAACAAAACTTTTTTTATTTCCTAGAGTGAACGGTTGCAATCGGACCTGATTGTGTGTATTGTCATTGGTGTACTCTATTTCGCAATTCACGTCAGTACAGTATTTACAGTTCTACAGGTAAGGTGTTACAACATCTCTGTTGTTTGTTTTTTATATCAAATGCTCTAATATTGTAACACTTATGCAGATGATGCTCCAGATCTCCTGACTAGTTACAGAAGGTCTTTAAATATATAACGTGACCAATATCTGACTGCAGATCTTGACGCTTCAGTTTTACGTGCGCAAAACCTCTTCTCTGCCTTCTCTTTCATACTTTCTTTTTAGCTTTTGGATTTTTTCAACTAATTTGATCTCTGCCACAAAATGCCCTCCTTTACTTCATCTATCTGTGTTAAATAGTATTAGGATCATTCTGGACTGAGGAAAGATGAAACTGTGGTTTATTCTGGATTGAGTGTGTGTGTGTGTGTTTGTATTTTGTTTGTTTTGGGGGAGGAGGTCTTTGTTTTGTTTCCTACTTCATAATGATGATATGGGATGAGACCTGTGCTTGGATCTATTCAAGTAAAGGCATTTGTCAAAAGTTGCAGCTGCTGAGATTTTTTTCTTCCGATATTCCTCAAATGGAGTCACTGGCTTACTTAAACAGCATTATTTTAGGCAAATGAAAGATGGGTTGCTTTTTTTGGAAGGCTTTTACCATCCTGCAGCTGCCTACTGTTAAAATAAGAAACTCATTTTAAAAAAATATATGCGTTTAGATTGCCTCGGATAGTAAAATTTTCAGATGAAGAGTCTTGCTTGAAGAGGTGTGCTAGATTTTTCTTAGTGAAGTATATGTTTTGTTATGTGGATGGGCTTCGACACTCCTGAATGTTGTGCTCTCCCATGTTTGAGAAACTTGGCTATATGCTCTTCACCAGTTATATAGTTTAGTAGGCTTGGGCTTCCAAGAATTTCAGAACTGAGCGTTTATAACAAAGTAATGCAATCCTAATGCTGCTGTGCCATGTCTAAATCTTTAAAAACAACTATGTATAGAAAGTGTTACTGTGAAATGCAGTCTTTGTAATGTAAATAGACTAATATTTTCTGATTTTGTGAAAGGATTTGGTCTTAGTGGAAGGCTTCTTATTCAACTCTTCCTCAAGAGAGTGCAAGAGTAATGATTTCTTTTTCCTTATGCTTTCACCTCCTCCTTCTTTCTAGTAGGTGAAACTGTAAAACAGGTTCAGCCCTTAGAGGATAATAGCTTTATCATTTAAGAAACAAATTGCAGATGGGTCAAAAGCAGCTGACTGTGAAATAACACCAGCATAATATTTTTCCTCTAAGATACTTTTAAACTTAGACGGTGAAAATGTTAGAAATGCACAGGTAATTCTCTTGGAGGGCGCTCCTTGTTGTTTGACGCTCTTAAAGTTGATAGTATAGTTTCTCATGAAGAAATACATTCCCACCTTCTACAGGAACAGCTGCATAGATGCTGGAGAAGCAATTTCTTTATTAGCTAATGATCTTGTTTATAAAATACGAACCTTAATTTGTTCAATTCTTCTTTTGTTTAGCCTATTTTAAGTTATGTTCTCTATGCATTGGTGGGTACAGTAGGCTTTGTGACCCATTATGTTCTGCCTCAACTCCGAAAGCAACTTCCTTGGCATTGTTTTTCTCATCCGCTGCTGAAAACCAAGGAATACTATCAGTTTGAAGTCCGAAGTAAGTATCGTTAATGATACTTTTTTTTAAACTTGCAGCAATTGCTGACTAATTCAACTACCAATATGCTTCACTCTTTGCTTTTGTTGTTGTCTTCGCTGAAGTATTTCATGACATAGTTTAGTGATGTGCTAGTTTTAGTTCCTTGATTCCATGATGTTTATGTGTCTTTTAAGTAACAATGGTAATATCCTGGGTATGCTAACATTATTTCCAAGCAGTTCCATTAAAGATTCCTCAGAATCTAATGTTTTTGATAACGATTGCTTTGATAATTTTTGGCAAAGTTGCAGTGTTTTTTCACTAGATATTTCTTCAAGGTTATTAGTTTTCAAATGTCATAGAGGATTAGATATGGTGAATGTTGTTGAGGCTTTCAACCTGGTTTAGATTTGATCCTTATTAGTCTCATTGACGTGTTTAACAAGAAACATGTAGTGCTCCAGGAATCTAAGTGAATAACTTTTTATTTCATTAAATACTCTTATGAAATTTGTTTTTGAAGGATTTATGTACTGAACAGTATTAAGTATATCAAAAGTCGTTAAGTATTGATGTGTATACATGCAATAGCATCTCTTCTGTTAAGATCTTAACTGTCCTACTAGTGGAAAAACAGACTAAGGGATGAGTCTTGCTAGTTGATATGCATGGATAGACAGTTGTACCTTGAGTTAAAGTCTGTCTTCCTGAAATCTTTCCCTGGCAGCTGCAGAATATATAAACAGCCTGCTGATCAGTTTGCTAACGCCAATACGTGTTGTAGAAGTAGATTGAGGTGTGTGTATTTATTGGAGCTTTTTTATTTTTCTTAAGAGCAAATTGAACAAATTTCTATCAAGAAAGGCTAAGATATAGCGGAAGCGGTTTTATTTTTTCCCTTCAGTTAGTTTTCAAGGCAAGACAGTAGCAAAAACCTGTGTAGGATTCTGCTTTTTCTCTAATCCCTACTTTAACTGTTAAACAGTACTATGAAAATATATCGTAGAACAGTGCAATTTTGCATGAAATAGCTGATTCACAGGAGGCCAGATCCTTCTTAGTAAGAACATGCCAAGGAATCTTAACCAATCCTAATATCCCTATAACTAGGAATTGCTAGATGACAGAGTAATAATGAGGAGAAAGTTGAAGTAAACAAGCATTTTACTTCTCTCAGAAATGTGGAGTTGTCAGAACAGATTCTTAAAAACCTCTGTCTTTGTACCAACTATGCAGTGTGGTCTTTTCAGCAGTGTCTGAGTTGTATTTTTCTGTGATGGGGTGTACGGATAAATATGAATACTAATGGCAATATCATGCCAAACTCTCTTTGGGGAGGGAAAAAGTGGAAAAATGCACTTGCATGATTAGACTTCTATGTACAAAACTAGAAAAGCTACAAAATTAGCTCCCTTTGATTCCTGAGTTCAGTTTAGCCATATGTGGTAGTATTATCACTTTAGTAAACATAGGCAAGATGAAAGAAGAAACCTCTGACACAGACTCTTTTACCCTATATTTGTCCTGCCTTGTAAGGTTCCCCCCCCCCCGCCCCATGATCTTCATTTGCATTAATTTTGAAACATAGCAGTCTTATTTTTTTGCAGTTGTAAAAATTTAGATGGTGTTCTTACTTTTCCTGCCAACATAAACTTCTGAAAGCTATGCCCCTCTAGGTTGTAGAGGGGTAAACTAGAAATATTTTAGCTTAAATGTTATTGGAAGGCATCCTTTTACACCAACTAAAATGCATAGCTTGAAATAATTTGGTTGGTACCAATGTTGATGTCAGCCTAGTGTGTAACTTGCCACATGCAAAAAGCATGTAGCTAGCAAAATGCTATAGTGTAGTAGATATTGGGTGGATACTTAACAGTGCAAGCTCTCTACTGGGATTAGAGAGAGTAGTTTAGAGTGATCTTCTCTTTATCTACTGCAATTAGATGAGAATATAGAAGTCGAGTGTTAGAATTCAGTTAGTGTTTGGCTTCCTGACTGGAACTTTCAAAGTGAGTGAGATATTACTGCTGTGATGTATAGAGATGTCCAACTTGCTATTAAATACTTCTGTAGGCAAGCTGATAGAGGTCTGTGGGCTTTTTAATCACAAATGTCTTGGATCAAGGATCTGTGCTGTTAGCAGTCTCCTGAGTTCAATTTGATACTACAATCTGATTTTTTTTTTTTTTTGTTAATGTGTCTTAATAGATGCTGCACATGTTATGTGGTTTGAGAAACTTCATATTTGGCTCCTTTTTGTAGAGAAGAATGTTATCTACCCACTGATAGTCCTCAATGAGCTTAGTAGCAGCGCTAAGAATATTGCTAGTCCAAAGAAACTGGATACAGAGTAAGTAGAAAAGGTTATCAAGTAATCTCAGTGTGTCCAATATACTGTAAAATGGAATAGTGAGTTGTAGTCTCAGTGGGAAGACAGTTAATGCTATTTGTTTGAAACTAAGGCAAGGAATAAATAACTTCTTTCTTTATTTGCAGGCTCTTACAGAACTAAATCACCTTTCTGGCTTAAAATGAATGGATTATTTCAGGGTTAAATTAGGAACCCATGCAAAGAGAATCTTTCAAGTCATAATATATACTGTGAAGATCGCAAGTTGCAGAGTTATCTAGTAGAGTGAGATCAGTATTTCTTCTTTGATCTTCAGAGTCTATAATACGATTATCAAGTTTGCACAGTTAAGAGAGCTACAGTACACTCTGGTATTGTCAGGTGTAAAGTTAAGACTGACGTTCTCTCACTGATGGTGTGCTCGGTTGCAGACCCTCTGCTGCTCTCTGCTCTCATCAAGAAATTCCTCAGGTCTTCCAACTCCTAGGTGTAACTTGTGTCCAGACAGAATTGCACGCTGTCTCTTAAATTAAGCCTTAGCTATAATTCCCAAGTAGCGTATCCAACTGTTTCAGTAAGTGTGAATCCAATAAGAGGCTCTGCAGTTTTTCTCTCCAAGAACAGTGACTAGGTGGCCTTTTTTATATGAAGTCGTAATGGTTTAAAACAGAAATATTGCAGAGGAAATAAATCTTAAAACAGAATCATATATGTATTTAGCTGTTCTTTCAAAACTTAGTAATCCTGGATCTAGTAAACTCTTGCTTTAGGTTCACTGCTCTTATTGCTCCATAGGGAGTTTGGGAGGAACATCACCTTTCTGTTACTTAACACTGTTTTATAACCCTTCAGTCTTTTACTAGCTCTGAAAAAGAATGCCATAGTATTTTAAGTTTATCGTTAAACTGCAGTAGCCCCAATATAAGTTGGAGCAATATAGTCATGTAGGAAATGCTGATAATCTACTATGCAAAAGCGTCCTCTCAGAGTAATACAGATCATTCTTGGCATTTTTGCATCTCAATATTCATAACCTGAATTAAAGATCAGGTTTTTGTTCAGAATATGGGGATGATTTCACATCTAATTTCTCTAGCGTTACTTGTAAAACAATCTCTCTAATACTTTGAACATTGTTTTGGACTACTGATTGGGCTTGGCACTACTAATTGAAAGAGACTGATAGCAACCTTAAAAAATCTGAAGTCATCTTTAAGGGCAGGGGAGGAGAAAAGAAACCCTAAATCCAAACCTGGAGTTTTTAATAAACTGGCATCGTATAACAGCAACGATTTATGTTAACAACCCTTTCAGACAGCAGATAAGTAACTGTTTTGTATGAATCTCTTATACAGGTTGGGTGCTTTAATGATCACAATAGCTGGCTTGAAGTTACTCCGTTCATCGTTCAGTAGCCCAACGTGCCAGTATGTCACTGTTATTTTCACAGTGCTTTTCTTTACTTTTGATTACAAAAGTTTTACTGAGACCATGCTGCTAGATCTCTTCTTCATGTCCATACTCTTCAGCAAGGTAACTTTGACTCTCTATTTCTGGGTGTTTCAGGTCATCCAAAAGGGAAAACAGACTGAAGTCCTAATTGATAGGGAATCTTTCAAGCCATCAGTCCTATCAGCACTTTAATGCGTATGCTGCGAGACAACTGAGACTTTTCCTTCCCAAAGCTCTTACGATGTTTGCTTGAGGAAAGGATATGTAACCTTCTAAAAATCTGTTAGTAGAGCAATAAAGTACATATCTTAGTTGTTTCATTGTTCCATCCTTCTGTAAATCTAAAGGCTTCTGGTGGACCGGTAAGAACTCTAGGAGGATCAGTAAGCCCTTCAGGGTATTTGCTGTACTGCAAAGCATGTTAATTTTTAGCCAAACCACTAAATAATTTTCCTTCTCTTTTTTCCTATAGCTTTGGGAACTCTTTTATAAATTGAGATTTGTATATACCTACATTGCTCCCTGGCAGATCACGTGGGGATCTGCTTTCCATGCTTTTGCCCAGCCCTTTGCTGTGCCGCGTATCCTTTGAAAATGCAGATTTAGTTTGTCATGTGTATTTGTCATTTGAGTGTTGCGTTGTAATGGCTTATGCGTTATAGGCTGTTTAGTGTATGAGCATGCTTGTCCAGTGAGTATTTTTGAAAAACTATGTTTGCTTGCTGCCGTGTTGAGAATTAGAGCGTATTAAGAATAGAATTCTAACATAGAAGCAAAGAATACAGGTTGTTTCACTGCAGAAATGGCACAGCTTTTCTTATGACAGTCATTCCCTTTTTCAGGAGTCACCTAACTCTAGCTGTCGGTTCCTGTGTTAGCATTGTGTTTTTTAGCTTGTGTGTAGACTGTTTTGAGTTGTGTTGAATTAATGTTCTTTGCAGGAGAACTTCCAGAAAAGGAATTACCACTGTGTATAGTGCCAGACTTCTTTAACTTCTGTATTTAAAAACAAACAAAAAAAATCACTTACTGCTGGAGATACTGTAAAGATGCTTGGTTTGCTACACAGAAAAACTTTGTCCTTAATTGTTGCCGATATCTACTTAATGTACTATTAAAGAAGCTTGAAAAAATAGTTGTTGCTTTCCCTAACTCTGTTATCCTACAGATTCTGCAATGTTGTTTGTCCAAGCAGCTGTGTCAGCTTTTTTCTCCACTCCACTGAATCCTTTTCTGGGAAGTGCAATATTCATCACTTCATATGCCAGACCTGTCAAATTCTGGGAAAGGGACTACAAGTAGGTGAAATAAAGCCTTTAAACGTCTGTGGAGGTGGGAGTGGGGGAGGGGATTTAATAATATAGCTATGGCTAACTGTGTGTTTATCTCCAAGTGCTGTTTTTTTTCCAGAGGAAACCACTTTATAGCTCTGAGTATTAAAAATAAATAAATAAACAAACAAACTTGTTTCTGAAATACTATAGTAGCTGTGGTTTTTTTTTAATACTGACAGTATTTACTTTTCTTATTTTCTATGTATAATCCTACAGATTCTGCAATGTTGTTTGTCCAAGCAGCTGTGTCAGCTTTTTTCTCCACTCCACTGAATCCTTTTCTGGGAAGTGCAATATTCATCACTTCATATGCCAGACCTGTCAAATTCTGGGAAAGGGACTACAAGTAGGTGAAATAAAGCCTTTAAACGTCTGTGGAGGGTGGGAGTGGGGGAGGGGATTTAATAATGTAGCTATGGCTAACTGTGTTTATCTCCAAGTGCTGTTTTATTTCCAGAGGAAACCACTTTATAGCTCTGAGTATTAAAAATAAATAAACAAACAAACAAACTTGTTTCTGAAATACTATAGTAGCTGTGGTTTTTTTTTAAATACTGACAGTATTTACTTTTCTTATTTTCTATGTATAGAAGTAGAGTGTTTTGGTTGTTTTTTTACACATCAAAATTGTAGTATTTTAAAATGAAGTTTTATTCGGAAGGTTAATTTAGATACAAAAGTTGCTTTTTGAAGTTTTCGGAATCATATTCGACTTATCTTCGTTACTGCTCATTTTATGCCAGAGCTGGTTGTCCTTAGTGTTAGCACCAACGCTTAGGTTGAAATCAGTCAAGTAAATCTCTTTTGATCAAGAAGCTATCAACAATAAAAGCTGCTTCATGTCAGAGTATACCTCCCCCGTTTTATTTCTCCAGTATTGCTGGAGTATCAGACCAGTGGGACATTAGACAAACAGTGTAGGGCAAGATGAGCACAACAGAAGTGTAAGTACCGTTTTCAGGTAAAGAGTTAAGATTGCATTTTAAGCCAAGGAAATGATAACTTGCTGTGTTCTTTACTCATCTGGAATGCTAGCTGTGCTGATTAATTGCTTCTAAAGTGCAGTTGTCATATCTAAAGGTTTATGATGTTTACCTAAGAAAATAGATGTGTTTATGATAATCATGTCTAAAGCTAAAGATTGTTCTAGCACTACCTATTGTGGACGAGTTTTATTAGGTATTGGATCATAATGCTGTTATAGCCAGAAAACACTTTTACAAATCAGAACAATAGTAAATTAGCGTGTAAAAACTATCAAAACCAAAATTTACAAATTATTTCAGTGAAAATACGTCTTCAATTTTTTGCTTTGTTAATTTTTTCCCTTTAACTTTATTATGCTATGAAATCTTGTGTTAAGAATGCTTTGCTTTGTTATTTTCAGCACAAAGCGCGTGGATCATTCAAATACAAGACTGGCTTCCCAGCTTGATAGAAATCCAGGTAGCTTTCCTAGTTTTTGTCTGAAATTATTTTAAAGAAATAGGAGGAATGAAGATGTGAATAATTTTTATAGGGTATGTGATCCGTTTGCTTTCTGGCCATTTTCTTTCCCCCTCTCCATCCCTTTTGTCTACTGCTGTTTTCTTCTCTATCATCTATCTTCTGCTTTGTTCTTTAGACTGTCGCATATGGCTTTTTCTATCTCTCCCCCTACCCCTTATGTGTCTATCTGCTGTACTTTTTCCCCTCCTTCATTTATAATCAAAGTATGCATAAAGCTGTCTTGCTTTTTATTCTTCTTAAGTAGCTAGCAAGAAGCCAAACATCATTTGAGGGTATCTCCGTGATATCCTCAGTGGTAAGACTAGTACAGCCAGTCTTGTCCGAGATACTTCTGTGCTCGTTTACTTTTGCACGTTTCTGTACGGAATAGATTGGTGATTTCATGAGTGAAACTGAGGGAATAACTTGGTAAATGGAGGAGTAGGTCAATAAGAGGGGGGGGAAAAATGGTCAAAGTATTAAACTTCACCCAGCATTTATTCAGAATAGTTGTCCCTAAAAATAGAGATGGGACCTTGAAAGAAAATTGCTGTTAAGAAAATGTAGGACTAAATGTGAAGCAATAACTTTCACTGACATTCAAGCTTGAATTTTTCCTGAGGATTCAGATGGTAACCCAAATTCAATCTTCCTGCAGGTTCGGATGATAACAACCTGAACTCAATTTTCTATGAACATTTAACCCGTTCCCTTCAGCACAGCTTATGTGGAGACTTGTTGTTGGGTCGGTGGGGAAACTATAGTACTGGGGACTGCTTCATCCTAGCCTCCGACTACCTCAATGCGCTTGTACACCTTATAGAGATAGGAAATGGCCTGGTCACCTTTCAGCTGAGGGGGCTTGAATTCAGAGGTGAGTATGTTACACTTTAACTGTCTATCTTGCAAAGGACTTCTACTCCGGAAACTGAAGTTACTTTCAGTTCCACTCGGTAAATCGTTTGCTTTGAAAGTGGGCTGCAGAGCTTCTGCATACCCCCTCGCTTGGTGAGGAAAGCTAGCTTTTTCTTGCAGAGTTCATATTAAGTGTATCTTTCCATTTTAGTGCAACATGGCTACTATAATTGTTTCTTTCCTTCACCTAAATATTATATGCGATCCTACAGTGGTAAAATTAAGCTATCCAGATTTCTTTTATTAACAGTAAACTGTTTTAATTGACAAATGGTTCACTTACTGTTCACAGAAACAGTTTGAGACTTAGGTGATTCTAAACACTTGTAAATATGATTCATCTTTAAGTCCATCATATAAACTCTTCAACTTTCTTTTTTTCCTCCCCTTCTCTGAAGGAACTTATTGCCAGCAACGAGAAGTAGAGGCCATCACTGAAGGTGTAGAGGAAGATGAAGGTTTTTGTTGCTGTGAACCAGGCCACCTTCCTCACATGCTTTCCTTTAATGCTGCCTTTGGTCAGCGTTGGCTGGCTTGGGAAGTACTTGTGACGAAGTATGTTCTGGAGGGCTATAGTATCACTGATAACAGTGCAGCTTCCATGCTTCAAGTCTTTGATCTGCGAAAAATTCTCACCACTTACTATGTGAAGGTACGATTCCGATTAATACAAAAGTTGGGGGAAGTAGGCTGGATTACAGCTAGGAACTGTTTAAACTTCTGGTGTCTTTCATCAGAGGGTCATAGAATGTGATACAAATTATAGACATATGAACAGTTTCATCAAAGGAGGACAATTCGCGGAGCTGATAGGTAATTGATATTCTGGTATATGAGCGGGAAAGTGATCATGTAGTCTAGATCAAAGGACGCTGTTTCCCACTGAAACTGGAGTAGAAGCTCAGAAGGCTATTACCCAAATGTAAAATCTGGTGAAATAAACGCAAAGTTATATTTATCTAGCCTGTTCCTGTTAGAGAAAGCTGAGCTGCTTTGTTGTTTTAAAGGTGGCCAAACCCATCTTTGTTTAAAAAATCTGAAGGTGTTACAGGACTCCACAGGCCTCAGATCTCCTCAGATAATCAGTTTGCATACTATTTCATGTCTCTCATAAGCTCTCATCCTTCAGAGAGTGGGAAAACTTCAGATTGAAATACTTGCAAGATATTTATGCGTACATATACATGTGGCTTTTTTACTAAACACAAATGCTTTAAACTTTCCTATCTTTTAATTCACCTTAGAAAAATAAACTTTATTTTAGAAATGTACCAAGTCTCCAAGTTCAGTAGGTAAAAATTCCCTTTTCTGATTTTTTTTCTCCCTACACAACTACAGTGATAATCCTGTCCCATCCTTTTTTTCCTCAGTGCATGCTTTAAAACTCGACACCTTTCTAAATCTTTAAAAATGTACCTGTATGCAAACTTTTGTTTTTTCTGAGCACTCAAATTCATTGTGTCTTTAAGCTAAACAAACACTAATGTGTACCACTTGTGTTTTTCCTGGTAAGGAACAAAAGTGAGTTGAAACAAAAGAAGTTAAGTTTTTTTTTTTTTTTTTTTAATTGCAATATGGTCTCTCTCTTTTTTTTTTTTTTTTTTTAAAACTACTGTTTCAGGGAATCATCTATTATGTCACAACGTCCCCTAAGCTAGAGGAGTGGTTAGCTAATGAGACAATGCAGGAAGGACTGCGGTTGTGTACAGACCGCAATTACGTTGATGTAGACCCAACGTTTAATCCCAATATTGATGAGGATTATGACCACCGTCTAGCCGGGATCTCGAGAGAGAGTTTCTGCGTGATTTATCTGAACTGGATAGAGTATTGCTGCTCTCGAAGAGAAAAGGTAGGTATAAACGTGTGAGGAAAGCTATTCACTGTTCTAGGATGGTCTTATGTGTTTTTGGTTTGACTTGCAAGGTTCCTTAGTATTCATTTTTAAATGTTTTGATTACTAATCTTAACAGTTTGTAGTTTACTGGATTTTATTGTATTTTATTTTTTTTGCTCTTGAGACTTGCATTTAAGTAAGTAACATAAAGTAGTGTATGATGTTACCTGTTTAATAATGCATTTTTTTACTTACCAGCTCAAATCAGTTGAATCTTAATCAGGCATTTATCTGCATAGAAAAGGGTGTATTTATGGAATTATTGTTATATGTTTAGATATTCATTTTTATAAATCAACCCTAAATAAAAGGAAAAAAACAAAAAGAGCTGTCTCTAGCTTATATAAAACAGAGCACTGCTTACCTAGTAGTCGTTCTTTGCCTCTCCTTTGGATCACTGGAACTGCTGACTTGTGATGGTGATCGTTCCACACCTAACCCTTTTCTTCTCTCCAGATCCTCCTGTCTTTTAAATAGGATTATGAGAATGCGTCTGAAGGACTGCTTGACTTTTGCTGCTTACCAAAAATCATATGTGGCATAGTTAGTCTGGCCTTTTGAGAATGAGCAAGAATTGATTGAGATTAAAAGGACAGGGATAAAACTTGATTTCTCACATTTAATGAAGGATCTGAGACTTCAGAATGAAGGTTTATTTTGGAGTGAAAAGGTTAGCCCATTTTTAAAGGGTATAAGATATTAAAGCTTTCTGCAGTTGAATGACGAACAAGAGCCAAGATGATCGTTTCACTCTAAGTGATATGTCTTGTGAAGTAGTTTATAGAAGTAGTGAAAATTAGATTTTATATCTTGGATATGCAGTAATCTGTTATCTGGGACATAACATACCACTATACATGGCTTTAGTTGAAAGTGAGTTTCCACTGAGTAAAGCTAAAATCTACAGAAGTCTTCATTTAATTCAAAGTTGCACACTCCTAACTATGAAGTGAGAATCCACTTTATTCACTAGAAGTATTTTTATCTTAAAAACACAGTAATTTTTTGAATAAACTATTTGCATACAAGATGCACAGTATGTGTAAAGATAGCTTATGCATCTGTACAGCTTACAACTTCAAATACAGTTTGTGCCCTTCTTTGCAAGTATGTAGAATGTACATTTTTAAGTTTTTAAAATAATTCCGAATAAAATACAGAATATTTAGAAATACCTGGTGTGGTAGGTACTCATGCATACTTAAGTGTGCGTGTCTTTGTGTGTTTTGGGGTTGTTGTCTTTTTACTCCTTCTGGCAGAACAGTTTTTCTTCTGTAGTGATACATGTGTGTATTTTTAAACTCTATTCACCTGACTATTCTTTCTCCCCTCTTCCCCCTCCCTTTTTTTTTTTTCCCTTTTGTTACTACAAGCCCCTGGATTCAAGTAAAGACTCATCCCTGGTGACACTGTGTTATGGGCTATGTGTTCTGGGGCGGAGAGCCTTGGGGACAGCTTCCCATCATATGTCCAGGTAATAAAATATTGTTGTTCTATGCTTACCTTCTCCAAAATTCCTCTGGGTGTCTAGGTTAGGTAATGGATAAATACCTCCTCATTTAAAAAAAAAAAAAAAAAAAAAAAGCCACACACAAGAAGAACCATCTTTCCTTAAACCAGACAGATATGCTACGTAACTCATTTTCATTATAAGAGCTGGTGAAACCTAAGGAACAGCAAATGAAGGGGAACTTGAATTTGAGCATTTTGTTTTATTGAACTAATAAAAGGTGAGAATTCTAGCGTGGGTAAGCATGAGTGATCATTGAAAAACTAAATGGGTTGAGTTCAGAAAGTAGGCTTTATTTCTTGCTCCAAGTAAGTGCCCTGTGTGTAAATAGAAGGAGAAGAGAGGACAGCTTGTTTAAAATGAAAGCATATCTTGACGAAGGTTAGATAGGGCCATTGCTTAAGTTGCGCAACTTAACTGCGGTAAGCAGTCTTGCTTCGTGCAGTTCTCCTTGAATTAAGCTCGGCTATCATGTGGGAACCTCTATTTTGCAGGTTAACAGCTTCAGCTTACTTTAGAAAGCCAGTGTAAAAATGTAGCCATATGTTTGAGGAAATCACAAGATGATGATTTGAAAACAATAAAAAGTGGTATAATCAGATGTGGAAGCTATTGGTCAGCTGGGTGCCAGCTGCAAAACCTGTTTTACTTCACTTCTTTCAGGGAAGCTAATTCCTCTAAGTGCCAGCAGTTTTCCCCCATGAAGATCTTGCAGGTATGCAGGCGTAGGCGAGCAATCGGAGTATATTTGCTTTTTACTAGAAACAGTAAGTTAGCTTAGTAAAAGGAAATGATGACACTAAGAATGAGGAAGTTCTCAAGATTTTTCATTCTGTGGTAAAACATCCACAACTGAAGCTAAATTTCCTTCTTAATTGTTCCATTGTGGCATTATAGTCCCTGAAAATTTTTCTCCTTGATAGTCTCAGAATAAACTCGGGCATTTCTCAGAGTTCCTTCTCTACCTTAAGTTAATGTAAATACACTAGGTCTGTTGCATATAAGGTTTAGTCATCAAATGTTTAGTGTACTTAAGCATTTAGTGTCTTGGCTTTGTTACACACGCATGTGCTCACTTGTTCTTTCTTCTCCTGCTCTCCCTCTGTAAATTGCCTTTATAGAGAAGAATTGCGTGCCTTTCTCTGAAGCTCAGTGTTAGTGTAATCTAGGATTTTCTGCTGTTGTCAAAGATGATAATTAAATAATTGTGGAAGTGTTTGTGCATTTGTGTTAATGTCTGGGGTGCGGGATTTTTTTCTCTCTCTCTCTCCAACAGTAATCTGGAATCCTTCTTGTATGGCCTGCATGCCTTATTTAAGGGTGACTTCCGTATATCTTCAATTAGAGATGAGTGGATCTTTGCTGACATGGAATTGCTAAGGAAAGTGGTGGTTCCTGGAATACGTATGTCACTTAAACTGCATCAGGTAAGATATTTGGCAGGAAGCTGTCTCTAGTTCTTGCCTTACTTTTGTCCTTTGTCTTCAAAGATGAAAAATGCTGAAGAAACATTTAGGACGTGCAGTTCTCCCTACTTGCCTCAGAGGAATCCCACCTGCCCCCAAGATATCTAAAACAAGATTTGTAGGTAGAGGTAACGCTGTATTGGACCCACTGGAATAACTGAAAAGACTATTCCCAGCTTTTGGCCACATGTTCTTCAGATCTGCAACAGAAGCTGCCAATTTCAAATTAAAATGCAAGATAAAAGCAATTCCTCAGCCTTTAGTGAAATATATCAGGCTGTTTCTGAAAAATAGTTGGTATTTGCAAAGTAGAAGGAGGGTATGAATATGAAGGAGGCAACAGTGATGGGGTAGTTATTTCTGAGGGGAGATGCACATAGAAGCAATTTAGAGCTTGTGGATCACAGAGGTTGAAGTATGGCGGGGGAGTGGGACAAACTATCATGTGCTTAAAAACCTTTCTCCCTCAACATGCTGCCTGGTCTACAAGTGTCAAATATCTTTTCCCTTTTAAAATAGGTCTAACTAATATCTAAACTGAGCCACGGTTCTCAGTTCATATTTGGCTTCTGTTTTAGACCTGAAGAAGGTCTTGTATGTCCAGAACCTTGTCTGATTTTTCCAACCATACCGATTGCCTAATAAGACAGCCAGCAAGCCTTTTCTTGCTTACATTGTCGCAACTTACCACTGAGATGTCTGATTCAAACTTAAAGGGAAAATAGGGAGATGATAGTAGTTGGAAAAAGGGCAGGGGGACTAAAAGGGAAGGGGCATGCCACAGAGATGAGTAACTAACAAATAAATGAAAGAATGGGCAAAAATCATTTGTCGATCCTGTCTTGCCTAGTGTTCTATTATAGCTTATCTTGAGGGTTACACAGAGGAAAGAGGAACGCATTTTATGCGTAGGGCCTGAAAGCTTCATCAAATGTAGACCAGCAGAACACACGTCAAGCCCTGTTCCCTATTCTTCTAGAGATGGTTCCCTTATGAATAGCCTTCCTAATGTTCTTCCTCCTTCTTCCCTTCTCCACATATATGTAATTGGCTTAAGGACATCATGCCATCCAAAGCTGCGCAACTCTCCAGTTGTCCAGTGGGTGGGAGTTGTTGTTTTTCATTGTTACAACACTTCAAAGAAAATAGGTACTTTAGCATGATTCGTTTATCCCATCAGTAAGGTTTCAGTTGAGAATGAGAAGCTTGCAATTCAAAAAGTTGAAACTGGGGTTGGTCTTTATAAAGAAGTTAGGGTGAAGATGAACAAGCTCAAATTCTGTCCAGGGAGTCTATTTACTAAACTCAGCAAGTGCAAGGAGCTGTGTAGTGTGACAAGTATCCTGTGAGGAAAAAGTGTCAGTACTCCAAAAGAACAGATCACTTGAAAATCATAATAACTAGGTAAGTCTTCGTTGTATTTCTTAAGTAATTTAAGTCACATTCCTTCCCTCACTGCAGAGTCTGAAAGTCCCTCCAAATTAGCAATGGCTCAGTAAACTCCTCCACCTAGTAAAAAGAACTCCCGTAATTTATCAAAATGCATCTAAATGTTAGGAGTGCAGAATTGGGAATTTAACTATATCAGAAAGTTCTGTGACTAGATACAAAATATGCAAGTTTAATTCAGTAGTCACACTTGACTAGCAAGTTTAGGTTGTATTGAAGTATCTGATGCTGCGACAGTCTTATCAGGTATTAATTTGCATTTTTAAATAGAAAATACAGATATATTTTATTATATGAAAATAACTATAGGAAGGAAGTCTTAGTGAATAATAATGCGCTCTGCTTCAGCGTGTGTTACAGTCAGAAACTTGTGAATAATCAAGAAATCTGAAACCAGAATGCTTCTACAGGCAATGTGAATAGATATAAAAGTAGTGTAAAACTTCACCAGAAATTTACTTCAATAAATAATAAACAGGTCCTATCAATCTTTTGCTTTTTAAGTTAAAAAATAAACAAATCCAAGCAAACAGGAATGGATCTGCTGAGTAAGAGGTTACCGTTAACTGTGTTTTTCTGTAGCTGTCTATTTTTGATGTCTAATTTTATGCAATGTAATGAGCTCTTCATGTGTTTGAGTTGAAAGATGTTTAGTTTCTGTATGCAGTTAATATCTGAAATGCTACTTTTTTTTTTTTTAAAAAACCTTCGTTCTTGGAAACAGGATCATTTCACTTCTCCAGATGAATACGATGATCCTTCTGTCCTCTATGAAGCCATAACAACCCATGAAGAAAATCTAGTTATAGCACATGAAGGGGATCCTGCTTGGCGGAGTGCTGTTCTTTCCAATTCTCCCTCCCTCCTTGCTCTACGTCATGTGATGGATGATGGTACCAATGAATATAAAATCATCATGCTGAACAAACGCTATCTCAGTTTCAGGGTTATTAAGGTGGGCTCTATTTGTACCTTCCACAACATGATGGTGCAGTGTAGTATATTGTAATAATTATAAAAAAACTGCTATTTTGACTTAGTTGCTTTCTGTTACTAATCTGGTGTTGCTGGGGCTTCTGCTTTTCATGTAGTAAAAGTATGTTTGTCAGAAGATTAGGTCCTGCCTTCAAATGCCTTTATTTTTTTTCCTCATGCTGTTAGGTTTGCTTTATTTTCACTGTTGCAGCCTGTGTCCTTTTAGAGCAGTAAATGTGAATGGCTGTAGCTCCACAGCGCAGAGGCCTGCATATAGCAAAGCAGTCTTCACATGCTGTCATTGTTTCAGTTTCTGACACAGCCTTTCTACTTGGCTTCTGTCTGTCATCTTCTGCAGGTGAATAAAGAGTGTGTGCGTGGCCTGTGGGCAGGACAACAGCAGGAGCTTGTCTTTCTACGTAATCGTAATCCAGAAAGAGGAAGTATCCAAAATGCAAAACAAGCATTAAGGAACATGATCAACTCCTCTTGCGACCAGCCAATTGGATACCCAATCTATGTCTCACCTTTGACTACTTCCTATTCGGATAGTCACGAACAGCTTAGGGAGATTCTTGGTGGAGCTATCAGTTTAGGAAATATCAGAAACTTCATAGTCTCTACATGGCACAGGTGAGCTGTGGAGATAAGTTCTCATTAGTATGTGTTCATGCTTCATTAACTAGCCTCATGCATGCCAGCAGAGCATAATTTATAATATTCAGTCACACAAAAATAAATATGCCTTGACTCTTACTTCAAATACGTCTGTAGCACGTGGCAGCTCTTGTGGCACAGGAGTTAATCCTCAAGGCATATACATAGTAAGCTGCAAACTGTATAAATGACAGCTTGGAAAAAACAAAGGACAAAGTATAAAAGCAAGAATTACAACTTAAGTTCTAATGTCAGGTCTGCTAATGAGAGACAATGCAACTTCTGTATTATTTTTTCAGTACCTGCATTTTTCCCGTCTATGATACCAGCCTCACAGTTATCAGGACTGCTCATTAGGGTTCCAGTCTGGTAAACACTTAGCATGCAAGTGCCAGCGCTAATATTGTTAGGGTATGCTCATGCATAGTTACTCAAGTTTTAGTTGTTGTTCAGAATTGCGTAAGTGCTTATAAATACCCTGTATGTCAGAGCCAGAAAAAGTAACTGTAGCAATCATGATATATCCCTTCATACAACCTGTGGGTAACCCAGTATAAACTCTTTTCCTCCAGTATTTTACAGCCCCTGAGGACTCTTACTTCTCTTGTGGCCCCTTACAACTTTGGCCCTGAAAGCAGCAGTGACAGTTGTGTGGCACATTCAGAAATGCGTGTCCTAGTTCTTACCGGTTCCTGGAGCTGGTACCGTGGTTGGAACTCTCTTGTTGCTGTTCTGACAGTCGTGCTTATACCTAAACAGCTACAGCATATCAAAACAGAACGTGCTGCTTCCCCTCCAAACATGCCATGTTTACTACCATCTGTGGTGTGCGCTTGTCTGACGTGTGGATAGAATAACAGGTGAAAGTGTAACACAAAACAGTGGCTACAAGCTGGGTATGCCTCAGAGTACTCAGTCCTAGGGGCAAATAAAATTGAGAAGGATTGCTCAGTGTATTCTAATGGGATAGAAGAAAAAGAGAAATACATAACAGGAATTGAAGAGATGGGAAATGTGCTGTGTTTTTATGTCCGTCTGAAATTCGTTGCAAACACTACAGTGAAAAGCCTCTGTATGGTTATATACTCTGTAAAACATTGGCTAACCTGCCAACTGAATACTCGAATTTCATATGAGAATTTGTGATTCAAAGAACTGCAACATGCAATATATGCTTTAAAAAGCTGAATATATTACTGAAGGTAGCAAGAAAACAAATATATAATAATAAAAAAAACCCAGCATTCTTTCTGTGCTTGTCTAAATTAGGGAAGTATTTTTTTAGCTATATGGCTAGTATCCTAAGGAGAGTAAAAACTTTGTTAATGCTATTAACAAATCACTGGGATATTCATCCAGCATTTTGTTTTTAGAGTTTTATCACTTTACTGTGCTTCAGAGGGGGCTTAATTTTCAAAAAAGGCATTTGTGTATGAAGACTTGGCACGTGATAAATAACTATTACTTGAATAGCTGTCATGAAGAAAATGGTCATCTCCCAGAATGCAACCTTTAAATTTGTAAAGCCTATTCTTAGAAAATAAAATCTAATTTTACCTGATTTTAGGGAATGTTGCAGATAGCGCTGAGTGAAGCCTTTTGCTTGACATCATAACACATTTAGGAATCATCATAAGGAATCCTGATGTTCAGGAGACCTGATTTATATTTTGTCAATTGCATTATATTTTCAGACTAAGGAAAGGTTGTGGAGCTGGCTGCAATAGTGGTGGAAATATTGAAGACTCAGATGCTGGAGGTGGGGCTTCTTGCACAAGTAACAATGCAACTATCAATGAGTCGCAGAGCAGCATGTCGCAAGGAGGAGGGAATGCAACTACAGGGCAGGGACCTGGAGCAGTACAGCACCCTCCTGTCACAACTCATCCCACAACTCATTCTGCAGCTCATCCTCCAACTCACCCCTCAACTCTGGGTAAAGTTAAAGTAAAATAAAGTAGTAATTTTATGCAAATACAACCCTATGGCCAGAACTAGCCTTTCAGCTGTGTAGTAGGCCAAGTTACCAGAAAGAAGTGAACCTGATTATATAATATTAATAGCTGCTGGATACATATCTCAAACCATGGTGCTACTCTGTGCAATAACAGGTTCCCAAACAGAGATTAGAGCACTCTGGTTATGCTAGCAAAATAGATGAAATAACTTTTTACAACACTTTTTTTTTTCCAACATGACTGACCTTTTGACTTCTGCTGTCGTTTTGTCTGTGAACACTAAATTTGCCATTTCTTGTAAAGGTATTTGTTTTTCTTACTTGTATATTGGAATGGATTGTCTACATCTATAGTATTTTTGCTGAAGTCTTTCCAAGACTGTGCAGTTAATAATCTGTAGTTAGTGAGGTGATAAGCAGTAAGGCTGCCCAAATGCTGCCTTTGCTCACAAAGGATATAAATGAGTATAGGTGAATGTACTGAAAGTCTTTCGATTTTTCAAAAGTATTTTTAGGCCCTCAGCTATGGAGAGGGGTTCAATATACAGGCACTTAGTATAGGAAGAGTAATGTCACTAACGTTCATAAGTTTCAATTTTTGTTTTCTACTCTCAAGTCCATTAGACAGATTTTTCTGACTCAGTCTTTGAACGTGCAGTCAAGCATATTAAGAAAGAATATTTAGTGTTTTGAAACATGGATACTTCCACTGGTTGTAATGTGTTCAGCATGGGAAACTTAAGTATTCACGTTAAGAGGCAGATTGTTCATATGGTAAGAGCATGGCTGAAGCATTTTTCAAGCCACTTGTATTGTTTGGATTGTAAATAGAGTAGCATAACAATTTCTAAGACATGATGAATTGAACAGACTCAGATGCTCCACTATATAAAGTGCAATAGATCTATTTTCTGCAATACTGCTATTTCAGATGTTTTTGATAGCATGTAGATACAAAATTGATGGCTCTAAAACACTTGTGTATAGAAAATCTGATATGTGTGGGAGGCTTTATCAAACTCTCCTGATTCTGTATCTTTTATTTTTAGGCACCAGTCACAGCTCTCACTCTGTGCAGTCAAGCCTTGTCAGACATTCCCCTGCCCGTGCCTCAGTAGCTAGCCATTCATCTTATTGCTACGGCAGTCGTCATTCATCTCTTCGCACATCCACAACAGGCTTTGTGCCTTGTCGGCGCTCTTCCACCAGTCAGATATCCCTTCGTAACCTCCCCTCATCCATCCAGTCCCGCCTATCCATGGTGAACCAAATGGAACCTACAGGCCAGACTGGGGTCAGCGTGCAGCATGGCCTGCCTTCTTCTAGCAGCTCCAGCCAAAGCATCCCAGCCTGTAAACAGCATGCCCTTGTGGGCTTTCTAGGGACAGAAGGAGGGAATAATGCAACTGAAGGTCAGTCAGGTGGTAACGCAAGCCCTGCAAATCAAACGCAAGCCAAAAAGGATGAAGTTATTTACAGAATCCAGGTGAATAGTCCAGAAGAACAAGTTAACTTATGGTTCCTTAGCCATGTGCTTTTGTTAGTGTTATCTTTATCTTGTAGAAATTACTACTTCTGAATACATACAGAATCTGGAATGCCTCAGCATGCAACTATTGTGCAGTTACATTTGGAAAACTAATGTAAGCATAAGCTCTTGTGTGGACAAGCAGCCTTCCTGCATGCTGAGACATGCCTGCTTACATTTCTTTCATCTATTTCTGGGGTGTAAGTTTGAGAACGTCAGCTGGGCTCTATTCTGTTTCACACTTCAGCTGTTTTGCGTGTAGCGTCTATTTGTCTTCATGACAACACGTAAAGCTGAATAGCTTCGTTTGCAGTGCTGAAAGTGTCTTTTTTCTTCTAAACTGAATAACTTTTCTGCAGAAGTAAGTATAAAAATATGTATTTACTCTTTGGTTATTGTCACAAAGTTGGGTCACTGAGCAGCTGACAGTACACCATTGACTAAGTTAGTTATGGCAGCCTTACTAGTTTTGTGGAAATCTAGAAGTTTGTAGTCTTGCCTATCTAGCTCTCCATAGGTCCACATGTATTAGTGGGATACATCAAGAAATAATGAACAGGACAGATCATAATGACCTTGATTTCATGGCTCATATCACCTCATTTTGGAGGAAACCATATCTTGATCATAGTGAGCAAAGCTGACAAGTTAATTTCGCAGGTCTGAGCTTAGTAGCTTTTGTTTGCAGGCAAGGGTCCTTCTACAAAGCTGTTTAATTCCCCTGCATGAGGAGAATATACGCAAATGTGGAAAGTCAGTTTACTTGAAAGCACTGGATGGGTCTCAGTTAACCGTGCTAATAGTAGATAGTTGCCTGGCGTACTAGTAAATTCTCCAAGCTCATGATTCGCAGGATATCATTCTGAGAAGTGGTGAGCCGATTCTAGCAGCCTGTCATCACTGAACTCCTCTTCCTTCCTATTGGGCCATGTGCCGCTGATGTGTATCTTGTGCTAGCTCCTCAGACTCTTCCATAAACTTGGGTAGCTGCGTGAGGAGGTAGGGGAAGGAACCAGAGCTGCTGCTTCACACAGCAGTGAACCAGTATCTTGTCAGCTGTCTCTGAAACCACAGTCTTAACTTCCAAATTCTGTGCTGCTCAAGCCTTTTCCTAACTTGGGGCTTGAGTATGCAACACTGAAATTGGTCAGAAACTGATTTCTGTGGTGTTTGAGGTCAGTTCTCCAGAAGTGTGCAGCAGTATAGTTACAGTTGATCTATTTCTTTTGAATTTTGGATGAACTAATGGTCAAAACTCAATTTGTATTTATAATTATAGATAATGGACCCTAGTCAAGTACTGGAAGGGATCAACATGTCAAAAAGGAAAGAGCTGCAGTGGCCAGATGAGGTGATACGGCTAAAAGCTGGAAGAAACAGCTGGAAAGACTGGAGTCCTCAGGAAGGCATGGAAGGCCATGTAAGTTTCACTTAAAGCAAAAAAAAAAAAAAAAAAAAGGTGGTGGGAGTGCAGAGGGACAAGACAATCTCTTCGTTATACACCAGTATGCCTAGATGTCAAGTCCAAGGATAGATTTAGTAGTAGGCTGGCTCACAGCTGTCCTGTAAGTTACTGTTGCTGGTAGAGCAGGTCTAGGATCCTAATTCTGAGCAAAAGGATACTTCTGCAGCTGAATCCAAAAGATGCAGGATGATTCAGATGATGTCAACCACCTCTTCATACTTGCTTTCTTCACGCTCTTCTCATGAACTCATCTCGGGCACTGTGCTTACTCTCATTCAGCCTTCATTTTTCTTTTCCTTAGGATGTCAGTCCTTGAGCAAATGCTGAAGGTAAACTTACCAACTACTGCTTAGTTGAATGATTAACAGTGTGTGTTTTTTAAGAATGCCAGGGAAGAGTCCCTGACACTTGTGCCTGTATTGATTCTCTGGTGCTACTGTATTTTTATTTAGAATGGGTCAGTGCTGACATTTTATCGGTGTTTGCCTTCATTGACTGCTTAAGTTACTTGGAGGTGTCATTTATTTGTTAGATTCAGAGGGACTGTATTTTGCTGTCTGAAGTCAGATTTCTGTGAACGCGTACAAATGTCAGATAAGAAATGGCTATATACTGATAACATTTTGTGTGCCAAATCTACCTTGATGTTATACATTTGTGAGGGAAGGCCCTTGAAGTAAATTCCTTCCATGAATAATTGCATCATGATTGATAGTCCACCCTCTGGAAATTGGGCTCTTCAGGTGAGGACGGTAGGCTTACCCTCTGAGTAACAGCTAGGAGTAGGATTCTGAGGTAAGCGTTCATGGTTTTTTAGGACTTAAAGATTATGCTTAAAAGATGTCATAACGGTGACTAAGGGTCAATCCACAGCGTGTCCTGGAAGTTGCCTAGTGTCACTTGAGGATTTTTTTCAGGAATTCGCTGGCCTGTTTTGCAAATGCAACATGATGACATGTACAGTGATTGTTGCAGAAAGATGAAAAACAAGAGGATTTGAAGGTCAGAATAAGCTACTATTCTAAATGTTGTTTCATCTCCTTTTGGTGGTGGGATGTTAAGTATACTGCAAGCAGGTTTGTTTATTTAGAAGAGCATTTTTAACCTAAGAGGAAAGGGGAAAAGCACTAGATTATCACTTTTTCGATCAGGAGGGTGAGATTTAACTTAATGACATAAATTCCACTGTCTGCTTCAGTTTTCTATAGTAAACTTACCAGCATCAGTAAAGTCATTAGTTCTTAGGATAGTCTTTTCTTTCTGATCCTGCAGTTATGGTCCTTTCTGCAAACAGGCAGAAATGATTCTTACTGACTGAGAAGCTGCTCGTCAAGCAATTTACCAGCCAAAGCATTATGTCAGCTCTCTCGGTATGCAGTTCAGCTTCCAAAAAACGTGTCCTGGTACTACTTACATATGAATAATGATGGCCATGTACCGAGTGGCATGTAGATTTTCTGGTGCATAACAGGGGGAAATAAGCAATAGTCAAAAGCAGAATTGAGTAAAAAGAGAGTGAAAGAATGGGAAAACACAGGGAAGTAAAAATAGAAAGACAGACACATTGTTCCTGGACTTTGCACATAGGTATAAAGGATAAAGATTCAGGCTTGAATTATGACAAAAGGTTGGGAGTCATTGCTCTTGAAGTTTGTGTATTTTGGATCTGGTTTCTTTTTGTATAAAATTACAGTGTAACTACTATGAGGAGGATATTGTATTTGTCCTGACAATGAAATGTCCCCACCCTTAGTAATATTCATTTAAGTGTAATATTACGGGATTAACTTTGAATTTCTGAGCACTATGTAGTCGTAATGTACCTTTCCCAACTATACCTTTTCTTTTGCTAAGCACACTGTATTATATGTGTAATATACAAAGACATCATAGGGTTTCTTCAAGGAAACGAAATTTGGCAATCCTATTTGGACTGTTGCTACATGTTCTTCCAGGACTTTCAGGTTAAAGCCTATTCTACATGATGTTTCAATGGGATAGAGAGGAAGATACCTCTTTCCCCCCAAAACCCTTCAAGAGTTCTTATAATCTCTTTGCTATCTAGTGACATAATTGTGCATGTTATCTTCACAGAAAATATGTAGTTGTCATATTAATGTCACTAATGTTGCCCCTTTTATGGGCATCAAATAAATGTTGGTCACAATACAGCAGGAGGTGAAACTGAATGGGGGAATGGTCTTGGTGAGTTACTCTCTGCACAACTTGTGCATATATACTGTTGGTTGTTAAGGAGCCCCAATGTTGATGCCTTTGGAGTAAGCCATTAGCTCAGAGGCACCAGTTTAAAGTTGAACTACAAGGATATAGTACTTGGACTTCACTGGGCAATGTTTGGTGTGTCTGTGGATGGAATATGCCTGTCCTCAATCTCTACAACGACATAAATCTTATTTGGACAGGTTTTGATAAAGTTGGGCTTGAAAAGGACTGCTTGAATCAAACAAGGGGGAACTAAAGATACTGTGCTTCCTCAAACAAAATGCTCTCCCCATGGATGCAGTATAGATCACATGCAGTAAACAAGGCTGAGTCTCACTACGCTACTAGATAAATCTCTAGTTTGTCAACTGGGTACAGTGATAATTAAGGGAGTCTCTTGGATTTGATGTTGGATGATGTAGATTACTTGAGGTTCTCTCTCTCCCTCTCTCGCTTGCTCGCTCGCTCTCTCTTGCTCTCTCTTTCTCTCTCAAATTACCTGCCTCTTTAGAAATCTTAAACTGTGCTGGTGCTTGGATTTTGTAAATACTCTTTTTATTTGCTTTTCACATTACCTTGGCTTGAATTTAGAGTTCTCTTCCCACAACTGGGTAATTTGAGAGCATCTGTTCCTGTGGAGGTGGCGTTACTACCTTTGGACCACTCCTGTTGTTCCTTTGGTGCATCCAGAAGTTAAAGGGGGAGTGTATGTTTTTTATGGAGGAAGCTGAGCCAATGAGTTTGTCATATAAGGACCTGGGTGGAAAAGGGTTCTTCTGATTGCCAATATCAGGAGGGATTCTTGGAAGCTGCAGAGGAAAGTACCTGAATGCTGTTAGGTCCAAGGGAGCATGTGACAGCGGTTCATGGCAGAGTTTCTGAAATTCTTCCTTTTTGTAATATTTTTCTCATTTAAAATGATCTTTGAGTAATGGAATTTAAAAGAACATCCTTAAGGTCACAGTGGGTAGGAAACAAGTCAAGAGGTTGATGTACAGATGACAGTGTCTTACACTAACTCCTGATGATGGCACAGAACTGTAGTTTGTGCTGCAAAATACTGAGATATTTTGAGACTATTTCATTACAGCTAGAGCTTCCAAATATATAAATTCCTTATGTGTACATTTTTTTCCATAGTTATTCACAGTTTGTCTGAACTGTTTGGTTCTGATTTGGGTCAGTTCCTGCTAAAATTCAAATCTAACTGGCAGTTCTCAGGTAAGCTGCTGCAGATGCCTAGCAAAACTTGCATGGATAGCTCATTTGTGGCTATGTTGCCACTGAAAAGTGAGTGGCTAAGACAGTATAGCCTTTTTATTATTGTTTCCTTTACCCTACAAAGATCCTGAATTATCAGACACATCTGTGAAATGGCAGCTCTTCCCTGGGAACTCATGTTTTATTACACTTTTTTATTTTTTTTCCCCCCAGGTGATTCACCGCTGGGTGCCTTGCAGCAGAGATCCAAGTAGTCGGTCCCACATAGATAAAACCATCTTGCTGGTTCAAATTGAAGATAAATACGTTGCTGTTGTTGAAACTGGAGTCCTCGAACTTGGGGCTGAAGTGTGAATCTCCTTAACAGTTAAACTTCCCCTTCTCCAAGGATTCAGAAGAGAGGAGGGGCCAGAAGAAGCAGCTCCCAGGGCATGAAACTTTGGTCTAGTTCTAGGAAAGGACTTGAAACACAGATTTGTCTAAGCCCTTTCCCCAAATAAACAAGTGTAAGAAATTTTAAGTTGTTAGCTGCTGAAGAAACATTTGCATGAAGGATAGATTTGTTGAGACATATCTTCTTGTTTATAAATTTTGTTTATGCATTGCGTAATGCTTTAAAATCGACAAATTTTTCAGTTCTAAGATCAGAGCACCTCATATTTTTCTAATTATTTTGCCAAAAATTGCCATGTCTTGTCACTGAGTATATGGAATTTGTTCACCTTATTTTAGAGAAATTGGCTAGCCTACAAACTTTTGGTTTGGTGAAACAGTGTAAAAGTTTCATGTGTGGCAAGAAGAGACTGAACAGATGTATAGATTCTTATTCCTTATGAGCTAAAAAGTTAATGAGAACTGCACTAATTTTTTTACAGCAATGCACTAAAAACAACCCTGAGATTGCCGAAAACATTTATTTATATATATAAATATAAATATATAAAATACCATTATTTAAATTGCCTTTGGGATTAATCCCCTCCCTCTCAATATACATGTTGATAGTAAGGGCTGTGCCATGGGTTTGGTTCAATATTTGTATTTTGTACAAGTGCATTTGCTGCATCGTCTTCACAATAAATGGTAAAATCACAAATGTCTAAACATGTACCTGAATATCCCTGTACTTCATCAGACTTTACTGTGGTGGCAGTGGTACATCAAGTCTGTACAACCCATCTAGCTTTAAAATGGACCCCAATATACTCTTTCATCTGTCCTCCCTCAGCTAGCCATGGCTACTTTGCTTCTTTACACCCGGAGCTGGCTGTGTTGTTTTGCTGGCTCTTCTCTGGCAAAGATAGTTGTGTGTGTGTGTGTGGTTTTTTTCTTTTTTCTTTTTAGGGGGAGGGGCAGGTCCATTGCTTCATGGATTCTTGAAAGCGTTTTTGAGTCCATCCATTTAAAAAAAACTTGACTTTACCTTTTAAAAAGCTTTTATAGAAGGCACAGCCCTAAACTTGTATCACTTCAACCACCTTGCCTTTTCTTTCCCTTTAGTCTTCATTCTTTTCTATGACTTGAATTTTATTTTCAGTGAATATATATTCTATGTAAGTGTAATTTGAGTATTTATAACTGTGAAGTTGAATTATTCATGTGTTACATATCCTAGGTTTTATTGTATTTTTTTAAATGTGTGTATTCAGGGAAACAAGTAACTCGGAACTATCATGGGAGTGTGAGAGGGGAAACTGTGGTTTGTTTTTTGACTTGCAGCTCTTATGGCTCTCTTCTCTCAACCCGTAAGAAAAAAAATGTACTACTTGTGATTGTTTCCTGTTTCTGATCTGTGATTATGTAGGACTTTGTGGAGAAACTGCACACAGTCCTAGCTTTTGGAAGCAGCCATCTTTTTCCTGGTCACTTCCACTTCTTCCTAAATAACGTAACCAGAGGACACTTCTGGTATGTCATAGAGGTTATTGTAATCATCACAGAAACCTTTTTCATAATATACCTAATGTAAGAGTGAAATTATGTGGGGTGAGGAAAAAATGTAGAAAGAAACAGCTAACTTTTTTTTTTTAAAGATATTCAGAAGATATTCTGACTCGAGCCACTGTATGCTTTCTGGCTGTGAGAGGGTAATTTTATATGCCTGGTAGCTAGTCAATTGTTAATACTGGTCCCAGTGTATTATACTGGGGCCTTGCTTTCATCATACACTCTGCAAAGCTTGTACTGTGCTTTTTATAATTGCATATTATTCATCTGTTGATGAATATGCAACCCTATTTAATCTTGGTATAAATGCACAGTTCTGAATCTGCCACCTTTGAAATAATTTTGCTGTTCCACATAGTTTATCATATGTGTGCATTATAGTGTAGTTGAATTCATCTCTTGCATTTCTGAAAATGTAGCACAGTAGATGAACCTTTCTTCAGCAATCTTGTAATCTTGCTGTTGGGAGCAAAGAAATGATGTACGTTTGAACTGAAGCCATTTTAAATAAGGTTTTATTCTATGTCCTTCCCTTTGAATAATTACAGGGTTTTGTGTGCCACTAAGAATATTGCTTCATAAAGGTTCTTTAAAAGAATTTCTTTGGAAATAGGCTGCCATTTGATATTAGTTGCAAAGTTTTTTCCTGTATTGAAGCCTGGAGATAAGCAGGTGACTGAAAAACAAGTAGAAGTTGTTTAAAACTTGATTGAAGCAACACTTTCAGTATGTTAATGCTGACTTTGAACGATCTTTTTTACTCTCTTTAAGGCAAGATAGTGGCAGTGTCCATTGCTGGTAATCTCCGTGATAGGAATCAATGACTTTTTAACATTTTAAAAATATATATTCTCCTATATATATTCTCATATAGAAAGAGAAAATAAGTAACTGCCTGGAATTAGATTAGGAGACAGTAGATGGGGGGAAAAAGACCAACCTTTCCTAAAGGGTAAGTTGACTTCCTAAAGTTGATGAATCCTTTTTTTTGTTTGTTTTTTATCTTAAGGCTTCCAGTGTGGTGTCATCAGGAGATGAATTATAATGTGGCCAGTTAACAGGTTAATAGCTTCTTTCACATATTCAGCAAACACCTATTGTGAAGTCATTCAAAGAGTGTTTGTGCCTATTCCAGATCTGCTCAACCAAAATAACCTAGTTGCAGTTTCACTCTTCCATAAGGTTTTGTGAAAATTAACTTTTTAAAATTTTCCCATATTCTGAGCTCTGATTTGTGTATGATTGTATGTTAGTTTTGTGTCAAGTTAATGTCTTGTTTCCACTGTGAAAGTGACAAAACCCATCAAATCTTTTCCTCAAACTCCCAACAGGATAGGTTTGTCCATAGAAGACTATTCCAGATGGATATAACTTCATTTTTGTTCTATTCTCTTTGGCCTTAGTCTTGATGTGTAATAAATTTTTTTTTTCTGTTGTGAGTACGGAAAGGATAACTGTTTTCAAATCAGTGTCCTATCAGTCCAGGCTCACCTCAGTGTAGAGCGTTCAGCTCTTTCTAAACTTTCATGAGAACCATTTATAGAAGAGTGCTTTAACTCCGTTGTCCAGTTGCATTGTGTGATGATGTTCTTTTGCCATACAAACATTCCAGTTAAGTCTTGTTGTTTTAGCCTCCAGGTAGATCCCCATCTATTTTGTTTCCTTCAGATTTCTTTAAAGGTGGTATCTATGGATACATGTGTAAAGACTTAATGCTCCACTGAAACAAATATTCAGTTACAGAAAACTGCTTAATAACCCCACTAAGCAGATTACGTTCATCAGTAAAATGGTGGTGGTTTAATTTTTTTAACTTTTGCCCACATCACCTGCTTGTGAAATCTTATAAAATGTTCTGATTAAAAAAAAAAACCTAACATACATATATGATACTGCCGATGATACCTCGAATTCTGAGCCCTTATGCTACAGGGTAATTGTGGAGTGATGAATTCTGGGAATCTCGGTTGTGATTCAGCATCTGTGAAGTGACTTCAGAGTGAAGAGGGTTTGTTGTGAGGGTAGGTTTTTTGTTTTGTTTTGGATTTTTTGGTAATTTCATTCTAGGGTGAACAGTCCTGTAGCCAGTTTGCTGAAGCGTTTGCTATATTTCTAAGTGTTGACCTCAGTTTTCCTATCAGTTGTGTAGTTCATTGCCAGGCATTCCTCACCCCCATGTTCACAACCCCTTTGGGAAGTGAAGAACTGTTATGACAAGCCTAGATAACTGATGAGATGAAAGGTGAAAACAGTTGTGGCACAGGTCTGCTCTTGGCTGTCTAGCAAGTAGCCATAAAGCTTTTGGCTCATGTGGGTTGGTGGGGGAGAAGAGATGCCTTACAGTTGGATCCAACTTCACATCATTTCACTGATAATGCACACAACACCATACAACCTATGACTGTAGACACAAAAAAGTTCCTTTAAAAATCTTTCTCAATTACAGGACTCTCCATTCACAAAATGGAGCAGGCTAGATTGCATTTCTTACGATTAATGATATTATTCAAAATATGTAACTTATATTGGATTTGGGGTTATACCACCACAGGTTTTATGTACTTAGTTTTATTAAGGAATTTTATACCTATTATATAGGCATCTACTTTTTTGTCTAGCTTAATATTTGATAACTTAATGCAGTACATTCAGTGAAGCTGGACGCTCAGAAATTATACTGGTAATTACTGGTGCCTTAGTAAAAAAGTGGGTACATAACACCTTGGTGGAAAGTAAAGCATGTGGCTTGTTTCACCCCAGCATGATACGCGTATTTCCAAAAAGGTGATTTAAGATGGCTGCTCCAAAAGATTTCAGGAGTATACATGCATCACTCAGTCACAAACATCTGAATATGAGCAATTTTTATGACTTCTGGTATATACAGTTTGAATAGATAACCCCAGTATATTTAGTCCGCGACTTTGAAAGATGGAGATCAAATAACTGGATATGTTAACTTGTTACATAAAGACCCCAAGAAAGCCTGACAACAAGCTGTTGATTAGGAAATGGAGGAAGAGGGGAGCAGAGCCATGAATGAAAGAGAATGGCTTTGCTTTTAATGGACAATGAAAATATATATTGCCTCTACCAGCAAATGGATACCTTGCCAGGGATAGGGATATATGTACCTGTGTGTCTGTGAGTGTGTATGTGTCTGCGTGTGTTATTGGAAACAGCCTGTAAATATTGTAGCTGTTTAAAATGGAAAAGGCTGAGGGGTTTTTTTGCAACATGTTGCAGCAAAAGGACAGTATTGACAATGAAGAAACACTGAGAAATAAAAAAAAATAAAATAACTTTTTCACTTGTTGTCATTTATTGCACTTTACATTCCCTACGAGGTCGCTCTCTCAAATTGCCTGTAAGCACTATTTTTAAGTTTATTCTACTAAAATTGCCTTTTAATGAAGGATTTACTTTTATTTTGATTTTTTTCTTATGTAGATGTAGAAATAGAAAGGAGGTTTTTTCCAGATGTTCCTTCCTATTTGTTACTGACAGTAACATCTCAGTCGATTATGTTTATATAAATATTCTGTGCAGTAGTGGCCGCCTTTCTGTAATTAAAATGCTATTTGTCTTGTCTTTGTTCAAGTACACTTTCTGCATTTATCATAGTGAAATTATGAGGTTCAGATGAAATTCTCTTAATGCTTTTTGAAGGTTGGAACACTATTTGGCTGTCTTTATGCTCAGTACTTTTCTCCTCTTCATACTTTGCAGGAGAATATTTTGCCCTGTGGAATTGGTGGTTTTTAACTTTCTGCTGTACTCGATAGCCAAGTGCTATTGTGTAAAGTCTGGATGAAATTCTACATTTACATGAATCACTTGATACAATGATATTAACTTTAAAATATTCATCTGCCATCTGTACAGTATATGGTCTCAGGCATCTCAGATTTCAGAGAAAGCACACAGAATTGCAACATGATCTTATTCCTCCAAGTTTTTAGAAGGATTTTTTTTAATGCATTTATAAAAATGATTGGGT